CCCATTTTTAAACATTTGATGCGTTGCACATTGCATTATCTGGCGACATGTTTCTGATTAATCAAATGAGGAGCTGATGTGGGTATAACGTTGCTTTTTGGAGTGGGAACACACTTTCAGGATTAAACAGAGCCACATGTGGCACTGTGCCTGCTATTTGACCATTTAACACTTTTAAATCAAGATTACTTGTGAGTAACAATGAAATGCATGTGCATAAATCTCCACGTTTGAAGGACAAATCTACAGTGATTTTTCCATATGTTGCCTCTTTGCATTGTTGTACAATTATAGGACAATACCATGCTCAAAGATGGAGATGAATTATTACGTAAAATTATGACCCTGGTCAAAGTTTTTTTTTTCTATCTACTAATATGCAGTGGTGTCATTTGGGCTGGAACAGGGGAGAAGTGAAGAATAAGAGATATTTTCATTTTAGCCATACAAATATATTGTGTTTCTGTGTGAAGAAAATGTGATTCCCATCTCTGTTTCATGACCAAAAGTGGCTGCTTCCAGAGACTCAACACAGAATTAGAAACAAGGAAATGAGGACTGTGGTTTATAAGATATATTCAGAAAAAACACTGAATTATTACTTAAAGAAACAAAGGACCCTGTTGGGAGGGTTACATTTCAATCAATCTGGTGAAAGCCTCATAAATACAGCTGTCTGCCATGTTGGGCTGAACCAGTGAGATTCTAGTTATAATACAATATGACTAACCAAACAGTAATCACATGTGCTTCATCACTTCTAATCTATGAAACCATAAACACGTGAGGAAACAAGAGGAAACTGTCAGCTGTTTGGTCAGGGAGGTGTTCGGTGAGGTCCACTTGCTGAGGAGTGAACAGCTTTGATCAAGTGTACGTGTATGGACGATGTATAGCCTGCAGACCCTTCTCTCTTTTCACAAATCGTGATAAGAACTTACAGAAAGGCCTCCACTTCCACACTTGAAGTGCAAAAGCAAAAGGGTTTTGTTGTATCCTCTGAAGGCCCACTATGGGTGTCACCCTGAGTGTTTTGCAGGTGCAAAGCTATTTGTCTGATATGGAGGAAAGCCTAATGGGTTTGTCCTTTGAACTCATTCTACATGGAGAGGAACCCACCCAGGGAATAATTGTACTGTAGTGCAGGTTATGTAATAGATTTCTGCAAGAGTTGGACTAAATAGTTCATTATTATCAGAATGTTCCTCTGAATTGTCCTTTATCAGGACCTGTGTTGATCTAAGACTATTACACTGGTTTATGCTTTATAGGATTTGTCATCTTTTTCTTATTAGTCACTGTGAAGTGATGTTGAAACGCCTTGACAGCTGATACTACATCGTTTTGTTTCACATGGTGAGGCAGTGACAAAAAATGTGAACTTGAAAAACTAGATTAATAAAACAACTTGTGACTGTGAATAAAACAAGACTTCACCCTTCAGAGCAGCAGCTGAAACTGCTTAAGAACATTTGGCCGTCCGGGTCATTGCTTCAAGTATTTTATTTCAAAATGAGAGATTATGAAATCACTAGAGCCACGAAAAAAAATGGATTAAAAAAAAAGAAAAACTCTGTGTTGCTGAGAGTTGATTTCAGTTACGGTCCTGCCAGCTGACTCTTTTCACCTACTGTACGATCAGTGAAGCATTGCTGATTCTGTATTGATTATCAGCCGTCACCTCCACATGCTGATGTCAGGGAGAGGTCAGCCTATTGGGGATAGAAATGAACTATGGGCCTCTTTTAGTTCCCCTTTTCCTCCAGCCTTGTAATCAGACTGAATTTCCCTTCATTTCATATTTGGGATGGGTTGTTATTTTGCTCCAACTGGTCCATCCAAGTGTTTACATCATTTTCAGATATCACAGAAGGAGAGGTAGCCGTTGTTGTACTGTAATGTTTGTCATGTCGATTGAAGAAAACATTTCCCATTTAAGAATTTTTATTTAGTTTTTATAACTGTGCAAACAGTTGTCGATGAACACTTTAAAGTCCCTGAAAAAAATCTGAAGAGCAAACAATCAGTACTCCTATGCTGTAATACAATGTCATTTCAACACAGATAAAGAAGGAAATGTTAACCATTTACTAACTGAAATAATACTCTGTATTACCTTGACACATACAGTCTTCCCCTTAAGTAGCTTTAATGAAGGAAAAATCACCTTATTCTAACCTGATTCATACATATGATGTCAACACTGAGTTCTGTGGCCTTGACGGTTGTCATGGTGTAAATCATGGTTACAAAAATGGAAAATTGTCTTGGATTTAAGAAACACACACAGCTTCAGCTTGTAATGAGCCGCCTAACGTCTAAATCTGAAAGAAATGATTAGAATTAGCCACCTTAGGCCCTTATCATCGGCTTATAAGCTTAGTTTAGTACTAAACTAACTTTAGTACTATTATACTGCCAAATAAATATGCAATTAATAAAACCACCAGGTAAGTGATCCTGGGGCCTTTGGGGTTCTGGGGTCCTGGTGCCAGTTGTCTGATTTTCCCAATTAATAATTCATCATCAATTGAGGTAAAATGCTGAGCTGAGTGAAACAGCAAAATGGGCTCCATTTATGTAGTGCTCTAATCCAAAGCGCTTTACTATTCGCCCCTAATTCACCCATTCACAACACCAATGGCCTAAGCATTGCAAACAATTTGTGGTCCAGACTTCTGCCCGAGGACACTTTGACACTTTTTAAACGCCCTACCTGCCGAGCCACAGTCGCCCAAAACGTCACTGGTGCAGATGGTGCTGCAGTTGCACCTCCAGAGCAAAAGGTATGATGGGTAGGCGATGAGGAAACCATCATATGAACTTCAAATGATTTTCTTTACCCTCTGCTGCTTGTGTTTGTCCTCACAGCAAATCCTGTATGGTGGGAAACACAGCAGACTATAATACAGTGTACACTCATATGTCTGTCAGCAGCCACGGTGAAGCTCTGATATTTGGGTTCAAACTTCCAACACTTTGTGAGCAGTTCACCTGAGGCAACATTTTTTAAAATGAACGTAGCGTCTTGAAATGAAAACCTCCTCGATTTCTGATATTATCTTTAACTTTGTGATAGCGCGTCAGCTGTTCTGGTATCTCTTCAATCTCTGATAACAACATGTTCTATTCTGAGAAGATTGGGAAGGGTTGACTTTGGAGGAAGTTGCATATGTGTGTGTGTGTGTGTCTGTGTGTGTGTGTGTGTCTGTCCAGGCTCCCCGTGGTCATTCTATTGGTCTTCTGAGTGGGTGGTCTGTTCCAAGAGAGGAGCACTGGAAACATTACACCTACATACACACACACGCACACACACTCACATACTTATACACATACACACACACACACATACACACACACACACACACTTATACACACACTTATACACACACACACACACACACACACACACACACACACACACACACAAAAGGAAACTGGGAATCACACCAACGCAGCACAGCAGAGGGTGGAGCAGGCAGGAGCCTTCTTCCAGATGTGTGACATTAATTTAGTTGATCCCAAACATGAACCGGTAGCTCCCACTCACTCATCACTGATGTGTGTGTGTATGTGTGTGTGTGTGTGTGTGTGTGTGTGTTTGTGAGTGTGAGTGTGAAACATGCCTCCTAACTTTTTAATATTCACACTCTGCAATTCAACATATTTCACTTGTTCTGTGTAGTTTGGAAGACCTGGTGAGAGAGAGAGAGAGAGAGACAATGAAGATAAGAAAAGGAAGATGAGAGCGACTGAAATAAAAATCTCTCCTCCTGAGCTTCAGAAGGAGGAAAAGATGGAGCAGAGAGGACTACAGGGAGACGAGGTGCATGATTAAAGAAGGGGAAAAGATGAGGAGCGGAGCAGGTTATGAGAACAGTCTCCACTCTGACCCACAGAGCAGCGCCCCTGGACTTTCATACAATACTTTCCACCGGGAAGGGGGGGGGGGTGATACGGTGCATGGAAAGACAAAGAGAGAAAAAAAATGAAATTAAATAAGAAGACTGGAGGAGGAGGAGAGCGAGAGGAGATGTAGGAGGACGGAAGTGGTTGATTGGGTCCCCCTAGAGATTTTTATGTTTAGATTGTTCTGCATTTCACTTCTTTCACTCTCTCCCCTCCACCTCCCTCTTTTCTGACATCTGAGGTAGATTACAACAGAGACCCTGGGTCACATTTATGACTTAAACCAAGAACATATGGTGTGTGCGTGTGTGTGCGCATGTTTGTACGTCCATTTTCGATGCAGTGGGATTCCCCTCCTGTCCCCGAGTGGTGGTCAAATTTATTTTCTTGTCCATTGTCTCTTGCTGGGATATCAAAGGACTATTGTTTGTTCATCAGCGAGGGTGCTGCAGGTTACTTGCAGGTCCTGGACAAGAGCGCTTCACCTCTCCTCCACATCTTCCCTTCTTATCTCCTTTTGCCCGCAACTGAACTTTTAAGTATGTTGGATCTACCGCAGAATATCCCAGACACAGAGGATCAGTACTTCCACAAAAGCCCTGTTTAGATTTTGAAAGATTAAGTGTGGTTATGTCTCATTTGTTTCATTTGGGCCTTGACGAGGCCCCACAGATACCACACTCTCTATCAGCACAGCACGGCTCACTCTTCCAAAACACACTTTAATATAAAACTCATGGGCAGAAAAACGCTAAATGTACCACATACTTTCTCATGCAATGAAATTCAGTCATTGTCACCATTGATTTCAGCACAAAAGCACATGTGTAAAAGTGTCAGTTGACTTTATTAGGATCGGCTTCACTCAGTTGAAGAAAAACAACTTTTGTCTTTGGAACGTTTACCACGGAAGAAAAAACAAAAGGATTTATAAAATAAGTTGTTGGAAGGACAATATTATATAAAACAATGGCATCAAAATATCTTTGACAAGAAAACAAATCCAAAAAGGAAAAAAAAAAAGGCTCAAATATTTTTGGATGCGGGGCTTTTTCCTCTTTTTGCCCATTTGTTTACAAAATAATAACAAAAGAGGAGAAAAATAAACAAAAACAAATCAAGTTATTTACAGTGCATATATTTACATTAAGGCATTTTTGCTGGGGAGAAAGACGGTTGATCTGATACAACCCCCACTTCTACACAATCAAATAAATAGATTTACCAAGATACATTACAGTGCTATATTATCTTAACGCTACCTGCAGTGAATGAACAAATACAGTTGTAAGTTCAGGCTACACCACACCACCAAAATGGACACTGAAGTATATATTAAAGGAGAGGTTCACATTTTTTTTCAATCAAGTCTGTCTCAAGAAGTGTTCTCATGTCAATTAAAAGGCTGATTTCAATGCTAAACCAATTGGGTATTTTCCAAAGTTGCTGTTTTTTCAGAAAGAAATCCCATCTGTGTGTTATTCCACAGCACAAAGAGGGGATTTCACACTGATAAGAAGCCTGAAAGACACCCGTCTGATTTGTCTAAAGCCTCTTATTATCTCCGGCTGATCTTCACAACGCATTTTTACACAGCATAAAGACTGTTGATTTCATCTCCCATTACTTCCATGTTTCGGGCAAGGATCTCTTTGTGGCCAGTGTGGACAAGACAAACACCTGCAGCGACCAGTGACTTGCAATGTGCGTACGGGCATGTGAGTGTTGTTTTAACAACGTCTTAAAGAAAAGTATGAACCTGTCCTTTAACAAAACACATGTCCACGTTCGATTGACTGATAGAGCTGCATTGCAAGTTAGTTGTGTACAGAGTCAGAGAGAAAAAAACCCTCAGAGAAAGGACTGACTGTCACTTTAATAAAAAAAAAAAAAAAAAAAAAAAAAAAAAAATCCACATAATGTCGGGATGTTGGTGAAGTGGCCTGAGCTGAGCTGTTAAATTACAATGAATGATGGCTAACCTTGTAATTTGAAAAACACATTTCCTTTTTACCCAAAGCCGGGTCTAGAGATTGAATAGATTAAGAAATAAAAACAGCACCATGCGTATTTAAAGGACTGTCTACATTAATCACAGCTCGGCTACCACTGAAGAAAAACACATAAACCAGAGGAGGAGGCACTTAATAAGGTTTTGATGATGAAGATGATACTTTGGTTAAAACAGTCGAAAGAATAGATGTACAGTAGTCGTGTTTTGAAGATGCTTAATTCAAGCTTGTGCATCAAATACAGTCAATTCTGTTAAACTGAATGAATTCTAAGACATGTCTATGGGTTCTGCTTACATTTCTCCGGCTGGGAATCCATCGAAAGACAATCTGAATAATTCATCACCTAATTGCTGCTCTTTAGCAACCATCCACCTCCCTCTGTTCCTCAGTCATCCTCAGTTCTCCACTCTCTAAAATCTAAAATCTTTCTATCTCTCCATCTGCACCCCTCCCTCGTTTCTTTTTTTTCCCTCCCTGCACTATCTTCCCTCTCTCCAGAGTATAAATGCCTTCAATTTTTAATATCTGAACAGCAATGATTTGTGAGATTCAGTCCAGTAGTGATAATAATCGTTCCAGTGGTGAATGAGATGCATGTGCCAAATAGGCTCAGACTTGGATTACCAGTTCTAGTGCAAACCAAATGATTTGGTAAAAAATAAAATCTGGATATTCCAGTTATATAAACAAACTAACAAACCACGGAGTAAACAAAGATTTGGTTTGACTAGTTTTGCAAACAAAAGCTTCTCCTTTATAAAAAAACAAATGAAGCCAGTTCTATGTTAGAACAGAGAAAAAAGATGTACAAGTTTTGAGTGGTAAGTGCTTTCATCCCAGTCACACAAAAGAGTCCAAATGGACTGGAGACATATTTTGGAGCTACCATTTTTTTTTGTTACTAATTTTCTTCTTTGTTATTATTTGTCCAAAGAAATCTTTACCAAGTATATCTGGAGGTTAAAAGACCAGGAACTTCATCTGGCTGTCATCGTTCTACTTTACAACCTCCAAACTGTCCCACTCTGGGTTAGGAGCAACATGTTTGTTAGGCTATCGTACTGTTTTAGCACATGATAGCAGCACCAGGAGGAGCTGTGGTGTCAGTGAAAGCTGCTCTGCATCAGGCAGATTGTAGTTGGGGGAGATGGAGTGAGTGCTTTATGTCTGTCAAGATAGTGAATGTGTATTTTGTAGTGTGTGTGTGTGTGTGTGTGTATGTGTGTGTGGATGTATGCAAATGCTGCTAGTTCTGGTGTCTCTTCATGTGCAGGGCGAGATGGTCAGATCGGGAAAAGGCGCGTGAGCAGACGGCGCACTGGAAGGGCTTGGCGCCGGTGTGCTTCCGATAATGACGCGTCAGCTCATCCGAACGAGCGAAACGCCAGTCGCAGCTGTCCCACGTACACCTGTACGGCTTCTCACCTGCAGAGGGCGGGACACAAGAGAAATTCGGGATGAGTGGAGTGCTGCTACTCTCGGAAAAACTGAGCAACCAGTAGCACTGAGCTGAATTTCTTGCTCGATCACTTGATCTCCTGCACTCTATGACAGAGCAGAGACTGTTAATGTGTGATTATAGGTACTGACAGAAATGATCACACTCTCATTAAAACAGACTGAATTCTCTGAGTAATGTGATTCAGACAGTTGGGTGGAGGAACTGGGAAAACAGGCTTTACAGAAAAGTCCAATTGTCTAACAGCATATACAGTCATACCACTGTCACAGGCATTCATCAAGCAGTCAAACACTAGCACTGCACAAGTTTCCCACGGACGACTGGTTTGTATTGTCTGCCTTTGCTTCTGAGCGCCTCTCTTTGACGGATGAAGTATGGTTCTTTGTCACTCCGTCATTCCGTCAGCCAACAGCTGCAGCCACAGGCACTTAATGAGGACTAGTGCAACCTGTCTCACTCAGCCCCACCTCTGTCTTTGGCCCACAACTGAACCGCCCGCCCTGCGATACATAACCACCAGCCCAGGTCCACTGGCCCAGATGTGGGGTTAAACACTTTGCACACCTGAATTACAAAACAAAAACTATCCTTGCACTTACCTCTAGTGATTTATCTATTTGTGCAGATCATTTTGGTTTTATTGGTCCAGGTTTTGAGATATTTGAATTTATTTACATCAAAATTTACAACAACATGAGTATACAACATACTTTAAAGGAATTTCTACAGGTTCTATGTATTCAGTTTGTAACAATGGAAGCTTAAGATATAAGCATCCCCCTTTTGTTCTTCTTTCTCTGGTCTGTCCAATTTTGTCCCTTTTTATCTGCATTTTAAAGATTAGGTGTGACAGCCCTCTAAGTAAATTTCTTTTGCTTCTCTATTTACAGTGTCTTAAATGTGCCCGATTTAAGAGCATTATATAAAGGAATCTAATGGAAACTGTGTTGTCTAGGTGGATATTTTTGTTCTTCTCCTCCTTATTACTCTGGGCAGTCCGGAGACCTCACTATGAACAGTTTCCATTAGAACTCCTGTTAAAGAAATAATGAAAATTGTTGAGAGTTTATTCAGTTGGTCATTCAGACTAATAAGACAACTGTTACACTTTTCAAATGTCATATTTAGAAGCTCTGTGCTCCATAAACATAATGCTATACACCTCAATTAAATTGGAGTTGAAGCAGAACTCTCAAAACATAAAACAAAAGTATGCTGTATGCTGGATACCACTTGTAAGAAAAAAGTAAGAAAATATGCGCTTTTCTTCATTTGCATGAACTGACCCTCTAAACAAGCACAGCAAGGTGCGCAGCGTCACTGAAACAAGCGCAGTAAACCTGTCAGAAAATAAACCACAGCGTCGCCAAAGTTAGAAACACACACCTGAAAGTGAACACAATGAGGTAGACAGACAATGAAAAGACACTGAGCAAAAAAAACAGTAAGAGTGAACTGAGAGGAGTGTTCGGTTCTCACAATACACTCGCAAACACATGCGCCCACGTACGCACACACGCACGCAGACAGACACACAAACAATCAGGGTAATGGATGTTGATGGAGATTAGAGTGGGAACTCCCACTGGGACCCAAACGCATTAGGAATCATCTCATACAGATTACTGACAGGTGTGTGTGGACGTGTCTGCATGTGTGTCTGCCTGTGTATTGTGTGTGTGTGTGTGTGAGTGTGTGTGTGTGTGTGTGTGTGTGTGTGAGTGCGTAAGTGTGCATTCAAGCAGCTGAATAAGAGAAGTAGAATGAGTAACAGACAAAGATAGAAACGGGTGGAGGGAGGTGGGGGCAGGAAGGGTTGAAGGTGGGAGGGTGGCACAAAAGCAGAGAAGATGATTAGATGAATGAAAGCGATAGAAAAAAAAGGGAAGAAAATAACTAAGCGAGACTGACAAAAGCAGGAGGAGATGGAAGCTGAAGCTGCTGCTGCTGCTGCTGCTGCTACATCCCTCTTTACGTGTCGCGGTCTCATCTCGTGGTCCTGTAATAACTGCAATAACCACAATCAGCCTGCAGCATGAATGACGCCAGATCTAATTGTCGTGTCATGTTCCCCAAGTACTGAAATGCAAGGCAAGCACACCCACAACAATGTTCCGAGCGAGTGGTTCAGATTCATAAGTTGAACAGATTCTGGATCGCAAAGTGGCAAGAGTGAGTTTTGTGTGTGTATCCAGATGAGCGAGGAATGCGTAGATATCAACAGAAGCTTTGTTTTGTTAGCTGGGGTGAGGTGGGGCCGCCGACACCTAAGCGCTTGTTTGTTGACTTTGCTTCTCCAAAACTAATAGTTCAAATGTACTGTAAATGTGAAACAAGGAAGGTGACTGAGGGAAAGAGGAGAGGAAAGGGAAAACAAGACAAAGGAAAGTGGAACATAAAGGCGGCCCAGTGATGATTGAAGAGGAGATATGACGGACAAGATGATCTAAGATAATTGTGTATCTGCACAGACAGATCTAGGATATATTTATAGTGTCAAACAAGCCAGACCAGTCTCCGAAATGTGTCTCAAAGCATTTAAACATCGATGTCTCAACAGGCCATGGGATCCTGAGAGAGATGGCACCACACGTTTAGCACTGACCACATAGTGGGAGAGTCATCCCCTGGCAGAAGTGTGTCACTTCCACCTGTTTTGATGGAATAGTATATTGGGCAGTGGATGGGAATGGGGTAGGATACATTTACACACACATGCCAAGAACACAACACTCTGCCTAGCAACATGGTGCCAGCGCAGATACCGAAATATGAGTTGCGTGGGCAGCGTCATTTTTTGACAGGTCCTGTTTAAAAAAGCGGCATTAATTAGAGGAATGTCTTACCCGTGTGAGTCCTGAGATGGGCTTTCAGATGGGACGACTTGGTGTAGACCTTCTTGCAGCCTGACGACAGACAGGGAGATAAACACAAACAGAAGGCTGAATCCAAATCCAAATAATTCACATGTGCCAGATATGTATTTACCCAATAAACTGAGCCGTGGCGGTATGCTAGAAATTTGCACTAACGAAGAACAGAAGCTATTTGGAAAGACATATAGTAAATGTTACTTTGTGGAAAAAGAAAAACTGCTCTAACACTGATTTTTCTGATTTTCAAAAACTTCATGTGACGGTGGTAAAAAGTGGCTCACACCGTTTTATTTTATGGTTAAACTGTTTAAATTTGGTGTATTTACAAAGTTATTCATTCAACCACATGCCACACAGAGAAACCTTCTGTTGACTGCACCTGTTAGATTGACATCAAACTCGAGGTATTTTAAGTTCAGGATTACTAAACCTTTGGCACATTATCTTATACATAGTATGTAGATTACAATGTCAGAGAGGTCATTAGGATTTTGAATGATTTAGAAAGACTTTCTTCTGTTTTATTATGACTTTAATAGATCAGAACTTCATGTATTGTAAAGACTAAATAGTGAGCAGTGTGACTAACGTGTATCGGGTTAAAGTGTGGATCTGTCCTTGTGTGGATACGACAGATCTGCTTCACTTGACTTCAAAAAAATTAGACGTGTGCTAACATGCTGCAGGAGGCTCCGCTTAAGCCTATTTTACGCACTGCCACAGGCTAGTTGACATTAAATATCTTACATGTAGCTGCACATCGCACAGCTACAGTGTGCGTGTGTGCGTGTGTGCGCCTGTGTGTTTGTGTAATGCAGTTAAAAAATAAAGAAAATCTGTCCATGTTATCTCAAGTGTGACTATATGCAAATGTGTGTGTGGAATAACAAATCAAATGACTTCAGGAGAACAACTATGTAATTAACACACCCACCCACACACACACACACACACACACACACACACCCACACACACACACACACACACACTTCATTACACAATCATACCAGTGATGACTTTAAAGCCACAACAATGTGTGAGAGCTCATGGCTGAGAGTGCCAAAGCTATTTGAGGTGTAATAATAAATGCACAAAGTAGTTTTTGAAGCAGGCAGTTAATTGACAGACAGTGACTGATGGTCTCCATTGCTAAAATATTCTAATTCTAGAGCAGCATGTTCTCTGCTGTGGCTGCAGAACATATCGTGCCTCACAGGCCTGGGAAAGTCATTCAAAGCACAACATGTAATTTGAAAAAAATGCAGGGGTGTCTTAAAATAAAGCTGGTTTTCTTGAAGCTGACCTTTGTGAGTGACCAGAGATTCACCTGACCGCAGCGCAGTGTAAAAATAAACACACTCACACAACAGTGACAAGAATCAGCATGCACATGCACTGGCAGACCTGTGTTACTGTTCTAACCTGGGTAATCACAGTGGTGGATCCGTCGTTTCTCCAAGTCTGGGTTGTTCCTCCGGCTGTAGCGGACAGGCACAGTGGTCTGAGCTGGGGTTGGGGCTGGGCTCGTTGCAGGGGCTTGGGGAAGGACTCCGGCTTGGCCTGGGACCGCCGTGGGACCTGTATTGAGGGGCAGGGCTAAGCTGCCTGGTCCCGGGCCAGGTCTGTGTCCAGGGGTGCTACCTGCCAACTTGGAGGCGATGGTGGCTGCATATGAGGGAGGAGGGGACATGGTGTGGAGCAGCTCCTTCTGCCTGTCAGGGCTCCCGGGCTCCGAGCTCGGCGGTGAGGGCGGCAGGTACGGCACCTGCTGCTGGAGGAAATGGGCGTGTGCCTGAGCATGAGGATGTGTGTACGCCCCCCCACCCAGGCCACAGTAAACAGGCTTAGCTGTCTGCTCCTGTTGAGATGCAGAAGAAGCTACCGGCAAATCATGGAAAGCCGTGTGGATTGTGGAAGTGGAAGTGTGTTGTATCTGCTGCTGATGCTGATGATGATGATGACGCTGATGCTGAGCCTCCATACCATTACCATGGTGATGGTCCAAGCCAGAGTTTAGGAGCTGAAACAGCGAGCCGCTGCTGTCATGGTGGTGGAGAGCATGCTGTTCAAACTGTGACGGCATTTCCTGTTTGACAAACACCTCTGGCACTGAATCGCCACCTTGGCTGCCTCCCGACTGGTTGAAAACACTGGTGAAGTCCGGTAACCCTGTTAACGACATGTTTATGGCTGAGGTTTCCATAGCAATACCGCCGGGCCCATGCCCAGATGTGCTGCAGCTACTTGTGGGCGTAGTGTTAGGGCAGTGCGGCTGTAGGTTGGGGGAGAAACACGGGGAGGCAGATTCTGTTTTGATTTGGGTGAGACCTGTGTGGTTCTGGTGCTGTGGGGGCCGCACCTGCTGACACAAGCCCATCCTCAGGTAGGCGACGTCAGGGAGGTAAAGATTCATGTTGAGCGTGTAGGGAGCCCCAGTGTGATCGTCAGTGAAGAACTGATCCACCGCAGATGCGCTGTCTCTGTGTGACTTCTGCTGGCTGTCGGCAGGAGGTGGAAGGGAAAGAGGCTGAGGGGAGAGATACCTGTCCATTTCACATTTTGCCTGTTGATAGAAAAGACAAACACACACAAAAAGAAACAGATCATTTTTCTGGTTTTAAAGTAGACTTTGGTTGAATGAAATGCACCCAGCTACGGCTTCAGCAAGTACTTCCCCATGAGCCACCATGAAGCTATTCTGAGGCACTATTTTGAGAAGACAAAGGTTTGATAGGACAGTCACCGCTGAAGCATTTATCAAGTAGTCATCAATAGGCGGTTGCAACATTCCCTCTCTGCCTGCAAGGCTGAACTCAAAAACCTATCCGCTGTGGGGGCAACAGTTGACGATCAGGCCACGTTCTAGTGGAAATAAAGATTCAGATCTAATACCTTTCATATAAAACATTAGGAAATTGCAAAAACTGCAGTTATGAGAGCAGACTAGAGAAGCAGCCTGTCACTGATCAAACAGGTGAACAACTTTGTGTCAAACAATGCCTTTTTCATATTGTGCTTCTAATTCCTGTGAATCTGAGGGATCTAACTGGTATAAAAGTTAGAGAAGCCCTGCAGCAGAGGATGAAACAGCAACATGAAAGGGAATGGGGAAACACCCATGCCTCCCTGTCCGCTGCTGCAGCAGCAGCAGCAGCAGCAGTAGTAGCAGTAGCCTGGGGATGGGCTGCTATTTCTAGGCTCCTGATCCTACCAGCTGTTACATAGACCCCTCTCCTCTGCCGCACAAGTTTCCTGCTAACTGGGGACAGAGTTGCTGGGACCTTTCTGTCCGAAGCCGGAGTCAGTTGTTGTCAGGGTGGTATGATGGTGAGAGGGGACGCCAAGAAGAGACCAACAACTGGTGACCAACTGGCTGGCATAGAAAACATGCGGTGAATGCGTTTGCAGGCGGAGCAGCTCGGCTTCACGTCCAGCTGGTCGCAGCCTGCTCGCTTATGACCGCAAATGGTGCACAACAAAGTGACGATTAACATCACGCAGCTAGGTCGACTGAAATTTGGAGGCCAGCAAAAAAACAACAAAAAAACAACCTGGCTCTACAATCAGTCTGCCACGCCCATTCAATGAAATACATCACTAATGTGTAAAGTCGGTCTGATTTCTGTCCGGTTTACCTGTGTGTAGTCGTTTTGTCCAGCCTTGTCTGTGTCTGTGATCTTGCAGTCCAAGCCGAACAACGCCGAGTCCTCCAGAGAGAATCCAGCGGAGAGAGTCGCCTTCTGCAGCGGATAGAAGGGATCCTCCTGCCCGCCGCCGCTCATCGTGAGTGTCGCGGCCATGAAAGCTCCGACGCAGCACCGCAAATGCTCGTTCGTCCTGTTATGCAAAAAGGAGGATGCTACAGCGTACCAGGGAGAGGAATGAAGCCGACGAGCTGGAGTGGTGGAGTTATTACGGTGTGCCTGTCTGCTACATCTCCTTCCACTTGTTTCATCCCTCCACCGGCCCACAGAGTTTTCTATCTCCAGGGCGGAGCTGCCCAGTGTAAATACAGCACACGCGCCGCCCACAGAACCTTTAAAAAGGCTTTGATCATTCATTCACCGGCCACCGCCCTACGCTCCATCTCAATACATTATCAACACTGTCGTAAAGTGTACACAGGATCGGCCAGACCCCATACACATCCATAGAGGCAGTGAAGGTTAAACTCACGTACCAGCCTTTTTATTTGTTAAACAACACATTTCTGTGACTGTCTTAAGCTTTTATGAAACAAAATCTTTAAATCTGGAATGAGCAGTGCCCTACTCAGATCTTTTACTTAAATAAAAGTAGTAGTGCCATGGTGTAGTAAATATTCTTACAGGTAAAAGTACAAACGTCCCAAATTTTCATTTTAGGATAAAACATTTTTTGAATCACAAATATTGCATTCAAGTGTATTTAATTATTTTAATGCTGCAGCTGGTAAAAGTGAGGATAATTCATTTATCCTGATCTATAATATTGCATCACAATTTATTAGTTGATTACATCATCATCATTTAAATCTAGTAACTACAAACTGAAGCTGTCAAATAAAGTGGAGGAGGAAGTACGGTATTTGTCTCCAACTGAGTTAACTGAGTTATATACTGTGCTTCCTTGTCTACTGTAAACCTTTTAAGGCATATTCTGGATTTAGTGTGTCATTTACATAAAGTTAAGGATTTCAAAAGTGACACATTAAAACAAGAATGGCCAAATGTCTTTTATTAGACTCCCTATGCCTCCTAAAGGCTGAGATCATTCATTTTTTTCCCATAAAGATCTTCCTGAGCCACAGATGACATTACTACTTCTATTGACAAGTAAAATGAACTTCATCTACAACATTGGTGGAGTGGTGGGTCTTACATTTTTTAAGAGGACAACGTTGTATAGTGAAGCATGGTGTTATGTTGCTTTCAACATTATTTACAAACGATAAAATCAATTTTTATCACAACTTGCACAGTTTATGAGAAATACTTCAGCAATGACAACTAAGAAATAAAAGGGGCCACATGTATTGTTTGTTCTAGTTATTCAACATAACAAGAAAATAAGATGGTGTGTTGTGATGTATTGTAGGCCCACTTAGAAAAAGCATTTGAGTAAAAAGGAAAAAAAAACTGATGAAAAATACAAAACAACTTTACAGCAGTCCTCTAGCCAAGTTTAATATGACACCGATAAGAACATGGTCTGAAATGATAAAGCTATGCCTGCTATGTCTATATTTAAAGCCAAAGGAGCCTCAGCTAGTGCAAATCAAAGGCTAAAGTTCCTGCAATGCTGTTTGTCTGTGGCCACCAGTATCTGCAAACCTGGAAAAGATGAGGAAATAATGATAGACAGACCTAATAAAACAGACCACTGCCAAGAAAGAGGAATTTTTGGGCAGTCAGTTAGTTAGGAATGTGTACCCTGTGGAAGGTAATACTTCTGGTTTTGGACCAGAGAATTTATTCTCTCGGAACAATACGTAACCAAGGATGAGAACAAACAAAAGACAAAAAAAAAACAAACAAAAAAAAAAACACTTTGACACCAGCAACAGTTTCTACTTTTATATTTCAAAAGCCGAAATTTGAAATGTAATTTAGAAGTTTAAAATACATACGTCGTACTTGATAAAACATAAGATTGTTAAAACCCTGAGTGACAATTAATAGCAGTAGGAGTAACACAACTGACTATTCACTTGGGTTTCTGCTTCAGCTTTTGGTACCAGTCAGGAACTTCTTTCTTGGTCTGGAAATGAAAGCAACAGAGAGGGAAAAGGATGGTTAGAAGTCTGAAGTGCAGCACGACAACAGGATTCACCTGTTTGGCTTTTTCATGATCCTAGAACATATACTATAGCATATCTTTTCTCAGCTGATTGCACTAAAAAGCTCAAATGAAACCAAATGTCAGAAAAGTAATTTATCATGTCCTGACAACCTTTAGTGCTCCTTTGTCTGAACCTCTGTCCAGGCAGGTTAAAGTGGTTTGACTCATACAAGGGTGTTGCCAAGTTAGACACTTACAAATACAGTGGGTTTTGGTTTGTTTGGTGACTCTTCTTCTGTGGTCCTGTTAGTGCGTTTGGACTGCTGTTTTCCTACACCAGAGGTCCTGATACCGGTTTTATCTGTTTCCAACAGGTCCAGAGCGTCTCCCTGTCTGGACCGCATGCTGATCAGGACCTGCTTCATCACCGCCAACTCCTGGAGAATCACATGGTTCATCAAAATAAGGATGTGAAAACAAGGGTAAAACAATAAACAGGAATCTTTATGAGAAATAACTGGGAGTGTTGTGTGTAAAAGGCCAGAAATCTCAACAACATCATCAGGTCATGTTTTAACAGAAATTCTGTCACTAGAATTCAAATAGGGGTGAACTAAAATTCATATACTTCAAATATTTTGTATGATTTGAATACATTCAAGCAAACATTATAACATAATATTTTAAGATGATACTTTTTCAGCATTTTGTCATCACAGGCCGACGCAGCTGAACTCTTAAGGACAAACTATGGGACAACTTGCAATAAGCTCAACAAGCCCAAGGGTCTGCAGGGGTGGCAGCAGGGCAGAGGGGAGAACTCTGGGCCATGTCACGGTTCTATTTATCACCCCTGAGGACATGAGCCCTGGCATGTCACACACACGCACGAGCACACACACATACACAAAAATGCACACCCGAACACACACGCACCCTAGTGGCATCCCAAGCAGCCAAGCTGAGGAACAGCTGTCTATGACAGGGCACATACTTCGTACAGCAAACGGCTGGCTTTGGGGGGGGGGGGGGGGGGGCACTCCCACGCGCACACTCATACGAGCACACGCAATCTTGAAGGAAACACTGCAACACAGTGCAATAATTTGTCTGGTGTGAGTATCAAAAGCCTGTTCATTTTAAGTGTCAAAAGCGGAGTTGCAGTGATTTGTCAATTAATTGATAAGTTGATCAACAGAAAATCAGCAACTGCTTCGATAATTGATTGTTTGTCATTTTACAAGCAAAAACAACAAATTTAATTGTTCCAGGTTCTCAAATGTGAGAATTAGCTTAAATTATATCAAAATATTTTTAGGTTTTAGTTGGACAAAAGAAGACATTTAATGACGTCTCTTTTGGCTCTAGGAAATTGTGGTGGACGTTTTTAAACAATGATGTTTTATACACCAAACAGTTAGCTGGAAAATAATCTTTAGTTGCAGCCATAATGGAAAAGGTTTTCATATCATTTCATTGCTACAGTTTGATCGTTGCAGTTATATAACATCCAACTGGAAAATGTCTAACAGGTACACATAACAAACAGCTAACATCCAACAGCAAATATCATTTTAATGTATACCTCTCGATGGTTGAGGAGTCTCTCCAGATCGGCGGCCATGTTGTTTTTCACCCGTTGCAGAGCAGTCCGTTCTTTCCTCAGAGAACTGGGGTTACACCCAAAAACAGTCAGAGATGAGACAAATAATAGACAATTATTACTATACTTACCACAAGTTATTAATATTACATCACTATATTCTGGTTACTTATAGGGTCATGTGAAACTTGTAGTACAGGTTAGGCCCATGAATCCCTGACGGTTTATGTGATTCATTAAGGCAGGATATTTAAAGGTTGTAGAAATAGTGCAATACCTTGTATACAATCGATGTCCATGTTAGTTTACTTTGCTTTACCATGGGGTGAGGCTTTGGTCAACTCGGATCAGGTGTGTAGGTGTGGTGTACATTGTAATTTGAATGTTGCTTCATTTGTGTGACTGTGCACCAAGTATGGTTTAAGTGAAATGAGAAAAAAAATGCATGACTAAACCACAGTCAGTCTAAATGCAGCAGTTTGGTTTACTAGTGCTGAGAGCATAAACCACTGGTATAAAACCATCAATAGCCAAATAACACATTGAACATGAGTCATAAATCTCTAAAATATACTAAATAAGCATCTTTTTTCAGGTTTGTGACTCTTATATGTTGAGAGCAAAACTAAAGCTCTCAACAGTACTGTCCAAGTGTTCTTTCCTAGGGCTGTGAAACGTACAAGCAGGAGCTTGTAATAGGGGAGCAAACCATTTCGCAAATCTTAACTGCTCGGTAGCCTGATCACCTTTTACTGAGAACCTTGGGGGAAAAAAAGCCTGAGATCTGCCTCTGCTGACACACTAATCTGAGCCAATTTGAGCTGAGGGAATTTTGATCACCAAACAACTGTGAATACAATTAATACTTAAGACAAAGAGCTTGCAGTACATAAAGTGAGAATCTCCTGTGAGCTGTGTTTCTGCTGCTTAACAGATAGCACTGCACAGCCACAGGAAAACTTCAACACCTTTGTCAGATGGGGAGGCTTGAGAAGCTGGAGAGCGTTCTAAAAGGATTTTTTTCACTCTCCTGCTTGCCCCAGGTGAGCGCTCAGTGGTAGTGAGCAGCAAGAGAAAACCTGCAGTCTGTCAGTTTGCATATTTCTCAGGTGAAAATACAGAGGGGTACTGAGGGGATTTAGGTCAGTGCCAGGTAGCTTTAAGTGAGCTGAAATACTCATTTATTGGGCATAGACAAACACGCGCAGGTTTGCACAAAGTCAGAATGAGCTAGGTACGACAGAAGACGACAGAAGTCGACAGAAGACAATAAAGCAGAAGACGCCCAGGGGTGGGGAGGTATGGCGTGTTGCCATGATGAGTAAACTACAAGGGATAAAATGTAAAAAATTAAACTGACAAAGAGTTTGGCAAGCAAGGCAGTGGTCTTTAATTTAAAATGTCATGTGTGTTGATCTTTTCAATTAATTTTCTTATCTGTAGATGCGTGTTTCTGTACATGTACCTGACATCATCCTCCAGCAAGGTGATACGTTCCTTCAGCGTGCTGATCTGTGCGTCCCTTTGTCTCACCGTCTCAATCAGGTAGCTATAGGGCTGCTGCGTCTGCTGTAACAGCTGGTTGGCTGCCAACAACTGAGAAACACCGCATATATGTGAGGAACTGAGCAATAACTGGAGCAATTACTTCAACTTACTTACTTCAACTTTTTTTCAGTTAATGATGCACCTAAAACTCAGATCTACATTTTTTCATGTGCTGTGCCACTCTATGAACTGTGGAGTCATGATGCACTATACTGAACGTGATTTTAACATTCACCTGTTTGATGTTAGTAGTTAAGGAATATTTCACTTTAAAACTGACTTTACATGCAGTTAATATCATAATATTTTAAACTTTTTTTTGCAATTCTTTATTTAGAGGATAACAGAGCATTTCACCAATTGCAGAGAAATAGCTTTGAAGCTACAAAGTATTAGAAGTCTGCAGCAAATGAACAACATGGCCTAAACCCCTTCCCTTCTCAGTATCCTTCTTTTTTTCCTTTTAATAGACAATATGTATCCAATAGAATATCCCATAACTATTTTACATTCCAAAAAGAGAATGTATAATAACCCAGGTGTGCATTAACATGTTGGGAGACAATCCAGTAAGTTATAGATATCTATATAGTGTGTGGCCACGACCGCATAAAATAGTGAAATTCTGTCAGTATTTGTGAGGTGACAACCAAAGCTAAGATTTCCTCATCTCTGACGTCCTTGTGGCTTCAGTGTCCATAACTTTTTTTTCTGAAGGCATATCTAAGTTTTATCCTTTTTATTAAAAGCAGTACTGCACTCAAATTAGAGATTAAGATATAAAATGGAAATCCTAACAATCTCTTTCTTGCAAATACTGACAGAAAAGTACCTTAGTACAGTTTTAATGATCCCTCATACAAGGTTGCATGATCTAATCTGCACCTAATGCAGTATTGCTCACCCAGTATCATGTTTAAAATCTGTGAAACAATAGATAAAGTTTGGTGGGTTGTTACACATTAAACCACTTTTATAGTCAGCCAGTAGTGAGCAGAACTGGGTGGGAGGGTCAGGACAATAGTTAGTTAGTCAGGGCATCTGTGTGGGTGGTTAAGTGGTTAACACCCTTACCTTTTCTATGAATAAGAAGTATAATTTTTCACCCTTTCCTTTCATACTCGATGAATCATGAGGTATTCCATACAAGTGCCAGTAAGTCACAGCTGACAGGTGAATGCCTGGTTTATTTAGTCTCAAATCTGCCCAGCCTCTCTATTCTGTCTTGCAAAATCTCTCCTCTCACTGAGATTATAATTAGGAACAGGGAACACGCAAGCACACTGGCTGCTGAAACTGTCATTCTCATCACTTCAAACCTAACTGGTTGATTTCTAGCATCAGAGCACGAATAGTAGACATGTGACTTCACACACAGTCACACACAAGACAAAATACACACACCCTAAATTAAAGTCTTACCGTTGAACACACATGCACATGGTGTGCCAAACACAACAAAAGCCCCAATGATTGCTGCAGTGAGTTGTTGGGAGAGTGGAGAGCATGGCCGTCACGGTTTTTGGCCATGTTTCCCACTCTGTCAACAGATCTGACAGGTACTAAGACTCCAACTTTCTGCTCTTTTCATGTAAGGTCTGCCATGTCTGCTGTCTGCTCTCAGACAACCTATCATTTTCCTGACACAAGTTTAAAAAGCTAGAAATTTGACAGGACCATTGTTAAACTTGGACAAAAAGGTAGTGTACACTCTCATCAATGAGTCCTGAAGTGTGTTTAATGATATATGTGGTGACCAACCTCACAAGCTGCTCCATTCAAATTTTTTTGGGTCATTTTTTCCTTGGATAAAGGCACCCCAAGTGTGGTTTCATGCCACGGCTGAATCTGCCTTTAAGAGAGCAATTAGACGTTCTCTCGCCATTAACTTGAACAGCAGAGAGCCGTGTGATGGTGTGAGAAGGTAAACGGCAGATGATGAGAGAGGAGCCACCGATCTTGACTTTGTGATAATGACTCTATTATGTCATCAGAGAGAGGTAAAAGCCAGGTGAAATAAATCATTATGACTTTCATAGAAATAACCATAATCTGAGTTGGGAGATTTGTGACTGTGAGAAAACAAGCATGTGTTCTAAGTACTTTTAGTGCTTTGACCTTAAATTAAACTTAATCCAATTGATGATGGTACACAGGCAAACAAACACCCGGGTGTTGCATGTGTTTCTATGTTTGTATGTGTTTACCTCTTCAGATATGTGTCCGGTCTGTGACTTGTGTCTCTCCAGCTCTCTCCTCAGTGACGTGTTTTGCCTCTCGAGCTGCAGCACCCTGCGAGCCAGGTGAACGCTGCGCGATAACAACCACAAACACAATTAATGAAAATTCCAAAACATGACAACGGCAACAAGTTTACACTAGTGTGTGTTTCCATGTTATGTCACCTACAGTTTATGTAGCCAAAGACAAGATACAAGGTGCAAGTGTTTTCAAGGTGTTATTGTTTTCAGAAAACACATTGAAAGACTACAAGCAAATAATTGTTTAAATTTCTGAGGGAAATCTAGACTGAGCATACATTTTAAAGCCTCTATGTGAACAATTTGAAAATTCTTCAGCATGGTAGGAGGTATCACACAAAACAATGTGGGTGACAGCAATTGCACACTGATTTCAAAGTTGTCTTAAAAAGTACGAAGCACCACACACACGATACACTGGACATAATTTTAGCCAAATGCAGAGGACTGTAATGCATAGTCACAGTTAATCACCACAATTCGATGTAAATGGTAGAAATTCACCAGTTAAGGACAAGAGGCAGAAGATTGTGAGCTGATATAATTGGTTTCAGGATATTTAAATGTTCAAATGTTTTATGAGGTAGAAAAGACATTCAAAATGTTCGGTTTGCTAGACTTTGAGGATGTTACACAATGCATTTTGTTGAGAAAGGCTGAATATAAAACATGAAAATATACAATAAAATCTAAATTGCTGTATGGTCAGGAAGGAAACTCGACACTTAGTTTTTATGAAGTGGTTTCTCTCACAATATGGCCTCTGTTAAGTGTCTCATGTACTATACCTCTGCTTTAGTCGTCTTTTGGCCGTTGTGGGAACATTAGCTCCATAGCCGTATGAGAACAAAACTCTCTCTGCCTCCTCTTCATTGTCAACTGGCAACAGACACATATGTATACTGTCAATACATCTCCAAGGCCATTATAACCTTGTGGCAATGTGAGGCTGCTTCAGGGCTTCTGCAGGGTTCATCAAGTTAAATTTAAGACTTTTTGAGACTTTTAACACCACATAGTCTGCAATGCAATACATTTTTCACAGTCATGAAGATATAAAAGACATAAATAAAAATCAGTGTGGACAAGACCTAAAATTATTGAACTGCATGATTTTATTGACACTTCCCACACATTTGGTAGTACACATTTCGGTAGTACCTCCCAGCTGTATATAAGTATATTTCCTAATAATATAATTAATTTATCATTAAAGATGACCTTGGTAAGCAGCCAACAATGCATCAATAAAGGGATGGATTATCCATTTAAAATAACTATCAACTAGTTTCTTTCAACTAGTATCCAGCTTTACACCTTATAACTGGCCTGCCTAATATCAAACATATTTAAGATTTCTGTAGATGAAATTCAAGACTGTTTAATACCATCTACAACTTTTCAAGACCTGCAGATACCCTGTGTTTTTATTTGTCTGGGCTTTTGTAAATCTGTTGGAAAACTGTAGTAAATATCCATTCTCACATATTTGTAAATTTTATTACACACATTCTCTGATGCCAGACTCCTGTTCAATTTATCTGAAAGGTATCAGTGTCTGTTTGTTTGTGCTTTTATCTTTCTGACTTTACAGTAATGTGTGTAATGTAATGGGCACCACAAAGCTAGTGCTGCCTTCTTACTTTCAGCCGCCTGCATGGTGACTTGGTCCAACTCTTGCTCCAGCTTTTCGTACGTCTCCAGCCGAGAAGCCTGCTCGGCATTCTGAGCCTGCAGCTCCGTCACCCGCTTCTCTGATGACGTCTGCAGCCTGTAAAACTCCTGAGTGAGGAGCTGAGGGACACGAGGAAAGGAGAGAGAGAACAGCAGAAGAGGGAGAGAAGTAGCATTGTTTTCTGTGGTAGTCAGCTGAAATTTTTTTTTAACCTTGTACAAAATGATGTGTGATGGTGTATTTTTTTTTGCTGATTATTCAATTATTATATCATTTACAATTCATTTTTGCAGTATTAGGGCTGTAACTTATTTTCCAATGACAACAAAACTAATGCACATATTGCAAACTTCAAATTCTGTTTTACTGTGGTCTAATGTTGGTTAAACTAAAAGAACAAAACACAGTTGAAACAGTTTTGAAGTTCTATTTATCAGCTAAGCTAGTGTTCTTAATTTCGGTGGCAATTTGAATAATTAAAATACTTTTCATGTTCTTTACACTAAAACACAACACTAAACACTCCAACATCAGAACCTGTTTTTAAAAAGACAAAATATCCCTTTTCTTCCACGATCATACGCAATGCATCATTATAGCATGTATGTCCCTCTGGCAAGCAGGACAGGGTTAAATCCAGGTGAAGAGGTGGAACTACACTAGGTGCATCAAGACATCAACAACAATCTGCACTCAATTAACTTCTTGTATAAATGGGTGTGCAACAGTGGAGTGAGATAATATTGGCGCCACTGGACAAACATACAAGGACTGGGAAGACATATTCCTGAGAGTGGAACATTAATCTTTAAGAGCTATGAATTTAAAGATCTGTAGTGCAGTTTTGGTTGTATTAATTCATGTGATGTTTGCAGCAAGCACTTTACTGTCTTTCCTAGCCTAGGTGTAGGGACTTTGATTTAAGAAACACTTAAGATGACAATCTGTAAATCTGAGCACAAAGAAAAAGGAATAGTTTCACTTAGGTTGACTATATTATTCTCTGTGATGAACGCACCCTGGGCCTCCACAGAGCTCCACTGAGCCTGATTAAAAACTGCTGGGTAGAATAAGTGACTGTAATCATTCATGTCATCCTTCACAATTTAAGTAAAACATCGATCGTGTCATTTGCAGCAAAATTTGCTCCAGGTACAGAACCAATAACTGCACCTGGACAACAGAGGAACATCAGGAACAGTGTCACACTGCTTTTCACAATATCGTGTCACTGTCTCTAATACATGAATGTTCCATCAAAAACATGTTAGCAGAAAATGACTGAAGACCTACAACACATACAAATGTTCAACATGATTTTCTATTTTTTCTCCATTTATAATGATGATTGCTTCCTGTTGAAAATGTTAATAACGGGGTAAAGGGGGATTTATGAATCACAAGTGTGATTCTTTCACAAGTTTATCATTTAATATCTATTAAACCATCTAAAATGATTTCCAATCCTTCTGAACTACAAGCCCAGGACTAATGTTAATGAGACTGAAGTACCTCCAGTTTCTTCTGCTGTTTCTCACACTCCACCTGGCACTGGGCGAGGGCCTTGGCCGTCTCTTCCTTGACCATCTGAGCGCGCTCAGCTTCGAAAGAGTGCAGCTTGGCCTGGTTGGACAGTTCGGCTACCCGGCTGTCAGTACCCAGCTGGAGCTGACGAAACCTGCACGGAGACACACAGATGGACACGCACGGGAATAAATATGAATGTGAGGAGGTGTGTTTAAAAAAAAAAATAAAAAAAGTGAGATCATGTGTTTTGGTGCAGACAGAGATGTGGACGAGTTGAGTTCACAAAGCAGCTGCATTTCACACAGACAATAAGCTCAGCTCTGGGCTCCTGGTTGAACTCAGACATGCAATGTTGCAATGTCTTCCTTCCAAAAGATGCAGTTACATTTAGTGAAAATGTGCATGTTTATTTTGAATTTGGCCATGAAGTGATTTCGCCCTATGCAGTGAACAACTTTTGAGTTTTTTCTGTTCTAAGTGTTTAGTGGCACCTAGTAGCTTGGCAACTACAGTATTACAGTCACCCAGCAGGAAAGCCAAGTCATCAATCATCTCTTGATATAAGAGTATTTCTCAATGGTGCTCGCAGCAATGTTAGGTCTTATTTGATCTTCCATGATTCTAGTTGGCAGCAAGAGAAAAGTGTTTCGACTTAAATGTTTGGTAATTACAAAAGAACGACAGAGACAGAATGCACCTATAGTGTCTGTTTTCAGATGATATAACTCATACACGAAGTCAAAGCCTTGTCACATAAGTGAATGGGAGTGTATGGGCATGCTCGCACACAACACAGAGACAGTTAGAAGCACCTTGCCCTCAAAAAAAAGAAAATTATGATGATTGCTTATCAATATACCAATACCAAACCTTCTAATGTGCACAAATTAACAAAACTGCAAACAGTGAGGTAGTTGATAACTTTGATAATAGTTTAAAGTCATTTATCAGACAGAAACATCTCAAACATTTGTTAATTCTGATGAATTAATTCATTAATATGAGAATTTTCTGCTTTGCTCTGTTTAATATCTCAAATTGAGTATCACTGGCTTTTGGACTATTGGTTGGATAAAGAAAAAAGTAATTTGAAGACATTACAATGAGCCTTTTTATGAAAGGTGTTTTTCTTTGTTTTCAGATATTTTATAGATTAAACAATTAATTGATCAATTAAATAAAACAGCTCAACAAATATGAAAAGAATCATTTACTGCGGCTCTCAAAGTAAAACAAGAACTGGAAACATATTTCCGAGCCGAGTGCTCTTCCTCAGGCAGCTTCCAAGCATGCACACACACACACACTCCATCTAGCCACAGAGGTTGGTTGGATAATATTAATAACTCTCGATTACAGCTGACCTGATGGGATTTCATCATCCATAGAGCACAGGCCTGAGCTGTGTGCTCACAGTGACAGACATGTACACATGGCCGACATTTTATGCCTCCTTTTATTAATTGCGACTGCAATCGAGATGCAAAGAAGCAAAATGTTCCTAAAAAAGCATAACTTCCAGGAGAGTAGTCAGCCATGTTCTTTCTCTGTCATTTCAAATGCCAATTTCACTGGAAATATTTACAGCTACAGTACGCTAGAGTGCCTGAATCAGGGGTTCCCCGTGGCAATTTCGTTACAACAATTTGATGTTTGCTAGAAGGGGTGAACATGAAAAACCGTACTTAATACTTTGTTTTGGGCAAGTTGATCACCGTAACTGATATTCTGAAATAGAGCGCTGAGATTCAAGCTGGCTCTCTATGCTACGATCATCTGACGCCATTTTAGGCTTGTCCGCCTCATTCTTTGCCCCAAAATAGGGGCATGCGTGGGGTTAGGTGTTAAGGGCTTGCAGCTCGCATCTGTCGTTGCTGGCTTGCGATGCGATGCTCAGAGGGAATGTGATCGCAGCAGAGAAAGAGTGGAAGGGAGAGTGAAGTGTGTGCGTGAGTGTGTATGAAAAGACCAACAGCTGGTGGTTTGGATCTAGAGAAATGACTGGCATGTAGTAGTAACCCAGGACAGGGACACTACTACTACTGGTGCTGCTGCTGTGTGTGTGTGTGTGTGTGTGTCTGTGTACAGTAGCAAGAAAGAATAAGGGAACCCTTTTGAATCATCATCATCTTCATTTATGTACAAAATATTCTTCAGATATAGTGAGATCTTCAAGTTCAAGTTACAATAATGAACAAACACAATCTATTTTATCTAATAACACACAAATCATTGTGTTGTTCTTGTACTCACTGTATACTTCTTTAAATTATTCACAGTGTAGGTTGGAAAAAATGTGTGAACCCTTCGGCATGACCTGAAGATAGCCGGACACCAGACATCCTGAGAATATGTCCGACCTGAAGCTGTTCTGTAAGAAGAATAGTTCAAATTTCCTCCTTAATGTTGTGAAGGTCTGATCAGCAGCTACTGGAAGAGCTTGTTTGAGGTCATTAGGTCATCACTTACTTTTGCCACCAGCACTGTGAATGTTTAATGGTTGTGTTCAATAAACACAAAAAAAGATTATAATTGTTTCTGTGATATCGGCTTAAGCACATTGTGTCTGTCTACAATTGAGACGTACATGTTAATCAGATCACATTTTATGTCCAAATACTTTTTCTTGCCACTGTGTGTGCATCCCCCGTCTGCCAGCTGCAGACACAATATTGTAACACAAAGTTTAAAAAAAAAAAAAAAAGGTCCCAAGTGATACATGAACAAAAATTAAGACGTGGTGGAAACATATTTCTCTATATGATTCCTTTCAATACTTAATCTATGTGTGTGTGACTAGAAAGTTCAGGTGCAAATGCACATCATGTGTTCATATAAGACAGACATGTATGTATACAGCAGAACTGGCTAAGATAGGAGGGTGACCGAAATATCTCCCCCAATAAGAAAAACGCAGGCTTTAAGCGTGCGTGTGTGTTTGCGCACGTGTGTGCGTGTGTGTGTGTCAGGACTCACAATATATCTGTTGCAATTTCCATGCAAGATTTGAAACTCCCTACAAGGCCATGACCCAGAGGCACCTTTCCAGGCTATACTGACAAAGGCATTGTTGCCTGGAGCAGAGACAGGGACTGGCAACTTGAACACAAAATACTAAGAGCAAGTGTGGAAGTGGGAAATGACTAAAAAGCTATAAAAGTTAGACAAAATGAGGAAAAAGCAAAAAGGCCAAATTTTAGATACCACAAAAGAATCAAAGTTGAGTTCACTTTGTCAATGCATAAGCTTTGTCAGGAGCAAGAAAAGGTTTAAAGAATCTATTTAAAATCATCAGTCAGTTTTCTTCAACATACACATTGTCTTCAGTTACTACACTGTATCCTGGCTGTCACTTTGCATTCAGCCTGCGCTGACAGTCCAGAGAAGCAGGAAAACAGGTCAGAGACACCAGCTGGTACTAAACTGACCTCCAGTGAACTCTGACTTCCATGTAACCCTCTGACCCCTCCCTTAAAGCAAAAAATGTTCATGTGATCTTTGGTAAGAGATGGGAAGCCACAGCCACCAAAGTCCTGCCACACCCACAACAAGCGCTAATGGCAGACTGCTGCAGGCTCACACATCAGCATCAGAACGACAACAAGGAATACTAAGGAGTTCAAGCTGATCATAACCTTAATTTAATAATACGCAAAGTAGAACTTAATCACTAATAACCACAGCAAGGATTCTTGCTTTGGCCAGCTCCCCAACACACACACACACACACACACACACAACACGCAAACATTTTGATGGCTGGCCAACAAAGACAAGGAATTAATTCAAAATATGATGTGCTGTGCTGTGACAACAAAAGAACTGTACCAACTGGGCCAGGTTTTCTTGACAGTTTAACCGTTGCCCTGGGGCGAAGTTCCTTAACTTTCCCTGATATATAGCCTATTAAAAGTGCACCCAGGAAGCAACCTGCATTTAAGCGCAGCAGTTGTACTTAAGATCATTTGACTCCCAAAGCACCCCTGGTCTGGAGCTCTTGAACATGCTGTATGCCTAAATGCTACATCATGTCAGGGATCAGTGATGATGTAATCCTTCTTGATTATTTAGTCACCATAGTATCTAAAAGTGGCCTGTGTTACTTGTTTTATTTTATAGAATAAAAGTGCATGTTAGTAAAAACAGTGGCTTTCAGTGGTGTAAATCTAGTCATGCACAATGGTAGCAGAAAGGTTTGGATTTATTTGTCCATGTTTTCAGGTTTCTGTCTCTTTGTTTTCGGCCCCTGTCCCTATATAATTTTTTATAATAAACAAACTAAATCCAAACTATCTGCAACAAGAAGATGTTTTTTTTGTCTTTGTTTATGTAAGTTGGATAAACTGACCCTTTCACTGACACTACTAACTTTACTTTTTGACTTGAAGTCATAGAAGAAAAAGGCAAAAAGAGAAAGAAGAAAAACAAAACTGAGTTTAGCTGTCTGTGAGTGTTCAGTGAAGTATATCAACAATATATGTACTGTATGGACTGCGTGGACATCTATATCAAATCTTTATGTGTGTGACGGACGGTAAAACTCACTGTTCCAGCAGCTGATCATATCTGGACTGAGTGTCTCTCTCAGATGCCACCGCTCTGTCTTTCTCCAGAACTGCATTGTCTCTGGCCTCACGCAAGTTCCTGGTCAAACACAGACACACAGATACAGACACACACACAGACACACACAGACACACACAGACACACACAGACACACACAGACACAGCCAGACAGTTAAAAGATGTCCTCAACACCAGAAAACAAACCAGTATGTTCTGTTATATTGTTAATTTTATTGAGGTTATGTTGGTATTTCCGTTTCTTTTGATGCTACTGTGAAGTATTGGTGGAGAGAGCTCTTCCTCTTGAATATTTGCATATACATTAAATATTTCTGCTGCTGATTTATGCTGTAATAACTGTTAATAATGATTGTGGTGTGCACACAAGTCATCGCTTCCCTAAAACATTGCTCCAATTTATAAATATGAATGAAGAGCTCTTCATAAAAATCTCTGCACGGTTCCCTGATAGGAGCAGGACAGCAGTACAGTGACCATATAAAGTAGGAACAACATGACAAGCTGCACATGACAAATGATAAATCTGAAAATTTCTTGGCTAAATAACATTTAATATGGCATTTTAACAAAATGTAAGAGTCCCTCTGGTTTAAATAGCACCCTGACATTTATTTATATTTTTTTTTACCAACATACAGTTTCTTAAGTGTTAGATGAAAAAAAGACTGATACCTGTTCTCCCTCTCATACATCTCCCTGGAGGTTCTCTGCAGGTTGTCTATCTCCTGACTGGTTTTCAGCCTGATGTTCTCCAACTCCTCTCTTAACTTGGTCTCGTACTCTGACTTGTAGTAGTCTCTGTAGTGGAAAGAGGATGAAAGAAGTTATGGAAACAACATTTTCTCTTACTGGTCAGACCAGAGGGGAGACTTGCATCATAATCTTGCTGGCAGATGAAACCATCAATCTTGAAATTTGGTGAGACTGATCATTTAGGCACAGCTTAGGTCATCCATATTTAAAAAATTAGAGCACTGGATGATAGTGACTGGTGTGAAACTGCAGAGCCTAACCTGGATGCTACATATTTTTCATAGGCGTCCTCCCTGGCTTTCTTAGTGTCTTCTAATTGTACCTGGACCACAGAGACAAGAAGTGAGAGCATGTTAGATGTTACTGCCGAATGCCTTTGGTATTAGACAAGACACCCAGCTATTCAAGTGTATGGACCTGCAGCCTCTCCAGGCGGTCTTCTTCATGTGCACAGCGGACACTGAGCTCCATGTTCTGCCTGTGGAGGTACTCCTTGTCTTTCTGTAGGAGAGTCTCTGACTGCTGCAATGTTGCCACCTGGAGGGCAAGATGAGAAAAATGAAAAACTGATAAAACACACAGTACAACTAAAGATACAACAATGAGTATCATGAAGACAAAACATATGGTGAGTGTGTGTAGGTATGTGTGAAGCACCTCTTTGCTGAGTGTGTCCCTTTCCCTGGAGAGTGCAGTGTGACTCAAGTCTAGAGTCTCAAATCTCCTCTTTAACTCCTTCAGTTCCGCTTCAAAGTTGTCGCGGTCCCTGGAAACCACAGTGTAAAGGGTTAACATACATTTGAACTTGCAACTTAAATATCCAGAATTTAAATGTAGGGGAAAACTAGAATTCATTACATTCCATTTTTTAAGTTCACAAACAATTGATTAAAGTAAAACATTTCTCTGATATAGTACACATAAAAAAAACAAACCTAAGTGTTCTGGAGTTTTGTTTTCCTGACAAAGAAAGAATACATATTTCCATGCAGTGTCCTAACCAATATCACTAATAAACCAAACATCATGGCTTTTGACTGCCAACTGGTTTCCAAATCTTTTATATTATATATAACCAAAGGGTTACAGGAGTATATTTTTTTTTTCATCACTAATGTGTAATGGGCAACATGTTTCTCTTCGATCTATAGAAGAAACCTGTGGTGTGATTACATTTTTTTATGCTCTGGGGTCTGGAGTTTTTAGCATTTCTGTCTCCTTTCAAAGAAACAAAACCTAAAACCTGAACTGCAGCCTGCAAGGACTAGTTAGCATCCTGACCTCTCCTAATCAAATGAGTGAGGCTACAGACAAGTCACCTCACTTGTTCTGTCACACACACACACACACAGACACACACAGACACACACAGACACACACACACCGTTTAACGTTTGGGTAGTTGTCTAGCCGGTAGTCCCCCTCTTGGATCTGCTGTTTGGTGTCGGCCAGCTCTAGGGTCAGTCTCTGGCTCCTCAACTCCAGCTCTGAACGTAGCCGCCGTTCTGTGTCATAGCTCTGCGGATACACATACAAAACATTTACATTGCACATAGGATTCATGTTATTGGGTATACTCTGCAGACAGGCAGGAATTTATCTCCCCAACACCTTACAGAAAGGAATTCAGTAAGAATCCCTGTTGAGAAAACTTCCATGAGTATCTTGCTGCATGCTGTCTTGATAGTGTCATACAGTGCTGCAGATTCTCTAATAGCAAATTCATGTAGTGAACATCACAAGGGGTCCAGGAACCATCTGGATGTATCCAAGTGAAAAAAAGAAACAATAAAGACAAAATCTTTTGAGTAATTATGTCACAAGAATACTCATTTAGTCTTGTGTTTGCTCAGAAAACACTCTCTATACGATTACACCACCAGCAGCCAGGTTCTTTTTTTCTGACCCTGCCTTCAGCTTGTTGCATCATTATCTCATCAGCGTGTCATTTGTGCCTACAGGGCGACTGCTGACCAGATTGACTGGATGGCTTTTTTTAAATGTATTCTAAACACCGCAGGCTGTGAAAATGCCCACTGCGATGATGCTGTAACTGATATGTCTAGCGTAAACAGAACATGTTTTAAGGTGATTTAAATCACGTGGGTATTTCCCATTTTCACCTTTAGTTTAAAGCCTCTTGACCCTTTCAGCATTCTTCATGTGTATGCTTTCAGAACATGCCACTCAAACCCTGCAGAAGTGAGTGTTTGTTTGAAGTGTGTTTGTTTGAAGTGTTTAAAAAAAACGCAACAATGCAAATGACTGGAATTCTGTCAGTATGCTCACAAACACATGAAAAAGGTTACAAAAAGGAGTGCCATGTTGATATGCTGCACAAAAAAATGTTCAACAGTTACGTTCATTTGAACATTAAAGTGAACACAAGAGTAGACAAAAATGGAAACAATAATGCACATGTGAAATAAACTGTGAAAGGAATGGTCTGTAACCTCAAAACATGTTTATTCATACTGAAAAATATGAGAATGAAACACGGAAGTGTAGCACAAGTCTGAGTGTGTGTGAGGTACCTCCATCAAAGCCTTCATCTGGCTTCTGTGTACATCCAGCTCTTCAGTCATATTGCCTCTCTTAACAGTGAGCTCAGCCAGATGAGTCCGCAGAGGAGTCACCACCTCATAGAAACGCATCTAAACACACACAACACAAAGTAAAGTCACCATATTTCGTGACAGATTCAACTGTATCAGATCTTGTCTCTCTGGATACCATCAGTGTGGTTGAATATGGTGGTGTACAGATCAGTGAGAGCAACTCCATACTTACAGCTACGTATTCCTGTATAGAGATTTTGTCCTCAGGGAGGTCACGCAGCTCCTGGTACCTGTCCTGTGAGATGTCCAGATCCCTGAGAGACCTCCGTAGCTCTCCAGCCTTTTCACACAGCTGTCGGTTGGTCTCCTCTAGCTGCTGCTGCCTGAGCTGGATGGCCTCCATCTCCTGCTTACGCAGAACCTGCTGCTTCCTAGTGAGGACAGTCTTTGTTAGCGCAGCTCATATTTGTGCTGGGGGTACTAATGGGGTAGAAACAAGAGAAAGGGTTGTTTTTGTGTAAACTTTCTTCGTGATTCCTACATGTTTGCCATTTTAAGGTTACATACATTTTAAAACATTTAATTGCAGATTGGATTTTAGCTAGCGCAGTCATAAAGAAAATTCGAACTATTTGCATATTTTTCACAAATTCATGTGCAATTTCAGTCTTTTCAAGACCTGCAGATGAGGAAATTCCTTTCTACCATTTATTATATATCAACACAGCTGTGCAGAAACCCTGAAATGATGATGACAAAATAAAAACCATACCAAAAACCAGAAAACTCATATTTCATAGGTTATACTAGATCTAAAAAAAAAAAAAAGCTATTAATCAACAATACCAATTGCATCCCATTTTTACGCCACCATTCTCACCTGTTCTCCTCCTGAGCAAGTTTCAGCTGGCTGTCCAGTCTCAGGGCGAACACTTGTTTCTGATGTATAGCATCATTCAGTCTCTCCTCCAACTCCTCAATCTGAAAAAATATATGCAAGGAAGCACAGGATTATTCTTGCAGGACAGATAATTTTGGAAGTGTTAGCCACTGCAGCTATAGACCGTGCTTCTCTTAATTTTTATGTTACTATATGAGAGACACAACCTGGGGATAAGTTACAACCGCATATGCACATAAACAGTGTCCATTTGTCCTGAGGCTCAAACTGTGCAGCATCTCTCCACTTCTACCTTAGACATATGGTCGGCCTTCATGTTGTCTATGATGAGATTCTTCTGAGAAAGCTCGATTTTCAGCAGCTGGACGTTGTGCAGGAGCTCTTTCCTCTCGATCAGCTGGCGGGTCACCTTCTGGGAGCCGCCCCGCTGCTCGTCCGACGAGGAGACATCCTCGGTGGTGGGCACCGTTGTCTCCAGGCTGATGTCCTCAGACTCGAGGTCCAGGGAGCTGGAGACGTTGGCTGCTGTCGGCTTCAGCTGCTGCTTCTTGGGAGGCATTTTGTATTTTTTTTGGTCCTGACTTTGTGTCCTCTACTTCTGTAGCTAACGTTAACTACAGGGCAAGTGAGCTAGTTACTGTAGCAGAGATTACATGAGATTAGAAAGTTAATTCAAAGACATCGCGATATGTGATACTTAAACGTAGGTTTGCAGCAAGGAGAAACGGAAAAATAAATTTCGACCTAGCACCACAATGACTAACTCTTTTCAGACAGCCAACTTACTCTTACTTAAAGAAAACAAGATATAGAAGCTAATACAGCATTAACGCCACAACCTGGTGCTGACAACCATACGGAGTGAAATGTTTTTATTTTCAAGGGTCCCGCTCCGAGCCGCCTGCTAACCGCCAACGGTTCGAGTGTGGTGGCTTTGACTACAGCGTCCTCTGTGGTAATTAACGTGCAGTACCATCAGCGTCCACCCGTCCGCTGTCTGTTACAATATACAGTCATGCAGTTCCACCTCCTAACGTATTGTGGCGCTATAAAATTAAGTACTTCCTTTGGAAGCGGCTAACCAGCCCTTCTTCTACCTTCTTCTGCTTTGTTTTCATCGAACAAGTATTAGATGGCCAACCAAAACTAAACATAGAATTTAAACTTATTTTATATAAATACCGTTAAATGTTTTTTTCGCAACTTATTGTTATTACAATTTATTATTGAACATGATTTCGAAATGGAGATTAACATACACGATTATAAGCAAACACCTGCATTCTAACTTCAAGATTCTCTCAACCCTGGGAAGCTTTTGTCGACCCACTGAGTTAGTTTACACCTTACACATGGGCAGCTAAGTGCTTGCTTGCTATCAGATGTTGGGGCGAAAAATATCGGGATTTAACCTTTGGAGAATCTTATCGACAAAATGCTGAAGTCTAAAACCTTCGTTAAGAAGACGCGGTCTGGTGGGGTGATGAAGATAGTGCGTGAACATTATCTGAGAGATGATATTTGGTGCGGGAGCGAAGTTTGCACTGTATGCAAACAGGAGTCCACGGTGCTGCAGAAAGACGCGTGTATTGAGAGCAATCTCTGCTCTTATCCTCACTATCTGGTCCCTGACACGAACGTGGTGCTACATCAGGTAAAAAAAAAACAACTTTACTTCCCCGGGATATCAAATTTCATACATGTGCTTGAACAAGTGGGGCAACAATCTGATGTGACGGTTTAGACATCTTGGCATATGAAATTCCAAACACACTGTGTAGGGCCAGTTTTTTCCTTTCATTTATTTTGATAAAACAACATTATACATCTTGTATTATGATAATACACGCGAGCTACAAAGTGGGCTTAACAGACATCATGATATTTGTGGATGAATGAGTAGCACTTATTCTTATTAATATAATGTTAATATTTTCATTCTCACACACCTATATATTCCATGTGTCTTTTTATAACTATAATATCATTATGTTAACCGATTGCATTGGAGGTCTAACATAAATTTAGGCGAAGGTGTGTTATTGACTTAAGGCAATAATAATATCCCATTCATTATTGTCATTATTTTACATCTTACAACAGGTATGATTCTCTTCCACCTTATGTTTACATTTTCTGTCTCCTGCAGATTGACATTTTGGAAGATCCTGTGATCCGTAATGTGATCATCCTTCAGACTGTGCTGCAGGAGGTTCGCCACCGTAGTGCACCAGTCTATAAACGCCTAAAGGACATCATACATGAGAAAGAGAAACACTTCTACACCTTTACCAATGAACACCACAGGTAAAAAGACACCCCTGACTTTCTATTACTGCATCACAACAACTTAATTGCATGATGGTAATATGTAAAAAGTAAAAGCATATAGAAGTAATTAGTGTCAAAATACGTTGGCCAGTTTCACATGGAGATACGACTCACATTCCCCTTCACATAAAGATCTTCTTATTAGACCTCAACTCTATACATTTGTTTTGTGCTTGTTACCCTCACATTTATCCTTATAATGTTTCTGTTCCTCCAGAGAAACATTTATTGAACGTGAACCAGGGGAGACCGCCAATGACCGTAATGACCGTGCAATCCGCATGGCAGCAAAGTGGTACAGCCAGCACTTGAAGACATTTGAGTCGAACACAGATGGGCTCAAGGTGGTCCTCCTCACCAATGACCAAGGGAACAAGCAGAAGGCACAGGAGAGCGGACTGCTGGTGTACAAATGTAATTTGTTCCAGAGGAGTTCAAACTTCCGTGCATCAAGAATACACCTCCCAAAAACATTTTTGAAACTAACCAACCTTGTAACGCACCTTGCAGACACAGGGTTACCATTCATATCCTGATACAACCACTACCTATTCTGTTGGATTCAAGCATTCTCAAACTGCATCACTTATATTTACCACTTTGTAACACGCATTTGTTCATTTACACTCTAGGTGAAGAGTACATCAAGAGTCTGATTGCGAACCTTGAGCTTGTGGATCGTCTAGCATTGTCTAATGATGATAAGGTAAACACAAACATATTTAATTTATTAAATTATAGAGATAAAAGCTATTTCTGGATTAAGGTAAAGTGCGACTGTATGAAGAATTTTTTTCTGTATCTCCTGTTTCCACCCCTACCTTTTCCTTCTTCCCAATCATTCTCTCTCTTTCCTCTTTCCATTGATTCCTTTTTCTTTCCTCCCACAGAATGAGATCACTACCAGTAAGGTGTTATTCCCAGAGCACCTCCCTCTGTCCAGGATCCAAGCAGGAATTAAGAGTGGCTCCTTCCTCCAGGGCACCTTTAGAGCCAGCAGGGACAACTATCTGGAAGCCACAGTCTTTGTCCAAGGAGAGGGGGAAGAGAGCACAGAGGTGTGTGTGTGTGTGTGTGTGTGTGTGTGCCTGCCTGTGTGTGTGCCTGCCTGTGTGTGTGCCTGCCTGTGTGTGTGTGTGTCTGTGTGTGCACACAATTACAATTATCATATGAACAATTATCCAAAATCTGCAAAAAAGGATCTCCCAGACCTCATCAGGGTTTGGGTGAGAATTTGTCATGCTGTTGTGGTAGACTGTGAGGCTTCAGTACAAATTAATTGACTGTCAAAGATAGTAAAGTGCATGCATATGTAAAGCACTGTGTTGTCCCTTCTGCTCGCTACCAGGTTCTCATTCAGGGTCTTCAGAACCTCAATAGAGCAGTGTACCAGGATGTGGTCGCTGTGCAGCTGCTGCCACGGGATCAGTGGGTGGCGCCCTCCTCAGTTGTTCTGCAGGATGAAGGCAAAGCAAAGGACGATAATGCTGAAGAAGAGGAGGAGGAGAAAGCAGTGAGTTGGGGTTTAACTTTAAGGACAATTAGACTGGTTTAGTCACTGCTCACGGTCAAAATATATAAACACTGGAGATGTACTGTATGTGTTGTGCTACTAAAAAAAGAGAACATGATTTTTTTTTGTGTGTGTTATGGTTTTACTGTGAAACCCCGATGAGCACTAGCTCTCTTATTGTCCTTCATGTTCCTGTGTGTTTGAGCAGCTGAAGGTATCGGCAGCTGAGGCAGCCAGGAAACCCACAGGTAAAGTAGTGGGAATCATCAAAAGGAACTGGAGGCCTTTCTGTGGCATGCTCAATGTCTCCCAGATTAAAGAGGTGAGTCGAGACAACTCTATAATCCCATTTGTCATACTCAGTTTATTTTTGCTTGGTGTAAAGATGTGAAGCTGTCCTCGAAATTGGTTTACGTGTTTTACTCAATCCACACTTCACATTGCTGACGTTGGGTCAGAGATACAGGACTGTGAAATTGCTTTAGCAGGAGTTTTGTCCCTTCTGCCATAGCAGCCCATAATAAACTACCTTGTTGATGCTGTTATATGGATGTGTACATATCTATGCTAGTGCATCCCTCTGGGACTATAAAGACTATCTATAAATCTCTGTATACTGCACAGACTGTTCAGCAATTCCTTGTTTCTTACTCTCAGCACTGATCATCCTTTTTCTTTTTTTCTTTTTTTTCTCATTCAGTCAACTCGGCACCTTTTCACCCCAGCAGACCGCCGTATCCCACGCATTCGCATTGAAACACGCCAGGCTGCCACACTGGCAGGCCAGAGGATCATGGTGGCCATCGATGGCTGGCCCAAAGACTCCAGATATCCAAATGTGAGTTTGAACCTCTTCAGACTGTCAAATCTTTGGAACTTACATATCCTCCTGTGAGTGGTTGCTTATCCACTTGCCAAAGTTTGACAGGAAATTGAATTGCTGATGTTCTCTATATTTATATGATGCCACATTTCACTGGCAGGACACATAATGATAAGCACAAAAACACAAAAATTCTGTCCACAGACAGAAGTAATTTTTTTCCTCTTTGTTAGGGTCACTTTGTGCGCAGTCTGGGCAGTGCAGGAGAGAAGGGCACAGAGGAGGAGGTGCTGCTACTGGAGCATGACGTCCCCCACCAAGCCTTCTCTCAGGCTGTGCTCAGTTTCCTTCCTAAGATGCCGTGGGCCATCACACCAGAGGTAACGGGATTCACAGAGTAGTATTCTATCCCAGTTTTGTCAAGCATTTATCAGTGAGACTATCAGTCTATAGTTTGAATGCACATACTGCATGAATAGATCAGTGTGTACAGTATGTTAAACTGGGTGTGTGGTACAGGACATGATGAAGAGAGAGGACCTGAGGCATCTGACAGTGTGCAGTGTGGATCCTCCGGGATGTACAGACATAGACGACGCCCTGCACTGCAGAGAGCTGGAAAATGGAAACCTTGAGGTACACATATTCTACACAAACACGATTCAGGAACAGTAGTATGTTATTAGTCTTTATATTTTACGCGAGTTTCTCTGTCTGCTATTTGTTTGCTGTAGGTGGGGGTCCACATCGCCGACGTCAGTCACTTCATCAGACCTGGCAACGCTCTGGACAAAGAGGCTGCCAGCCGTGGAACCACTGTCTACTTGTGTGGCAAGGTGAGGAGACACAGACACACCCGGTTGAATCTTAATGTTATCACAACATCGGAATTTTAACTTCAGTGCTAGAATTAAATTCGCTGTCAAAAAATGTGACAACAGAGCATAGCTGCAAAAACAAAAAGAGTTGTGTTGCGTTTAGCTCCATAAGCTTTATAATTTATATATTTGTCAAAAGTTGTCTCAGTTAAGGTGAACAGATAAGCTGTTTAGGATGTGGGGGACTGTTTGGCACTTCTCCATATGGTCAGTAATTGACACAATTCTACCATCATGAGCCACATTGCACCAGAGTTACAAGAATTTTGGAAAAGGTGTTTGGGTTGTATCGAAATTTAGGATATTGTGACAGTGAATGTGCTCGATTTTAGTCGTCGATTGTTGACTTGAGAATTTCATCAATTCATGAAAAGCTATTTTGGCTCCAAAAAGCTAAGATAAAGCAAATTGCATGTGTTTGATGTTGTGTCCAACAGAGGATAGACATGGTTCCCGAGCTGCTCAGCTCCAATCTTTGTTCTCTACGCTCCAACGTGGAGAGGTGAGGACTGAACTACATATGAACACAGACACACACACACACACACACACACACACACACATACATACACACACACAGTTGCACAATAACCAGTGTCATTAGTGCTCCAGTTCTTTCCAAAATGTTCTAGTTCTAAAAATGGATGAGTTCAGCGTGCTTTAGTTACAAACTTTAATTATCATGTATCAACATCCATCATCAACCTAAAAGATTTCTATAGTCAAACAGCTGTTTTTGTCATTCTAAATGTTTCTTTTCTTTCTCAAGGCTGGCTTTCTCATGTATCTGGGAGATGAACCACAAGGCCGAAATCCTAAAGACACGGTTCACAAAAAGTGTCATTAACTCCAAGGTACAGTACCAACATGCAGATATACAACCACAGATGGCACATTATTATCAGACTGTTTTCAGGCATGATTTACTGTCCAGGCAATATTGTTATATCATCTTTATTTCCTCTCTATTTTCCCCTCTATCGTGCGACCTGATCCAGGCGTCTCTGACCTATGCTGAGGCCCAGATGAGAATCGATGACACCACCAAGAATGATGATATCATCAAGAGCCTGCGGGGTCTCAACAAACTAGCCAAAATCCTCAAGAGGCAGAGGATAGAGAAAGGGTAGGGATGGGGAGTTGGGAGTAGTTGATGCCACATTCTAATGTTGTGGGCAGAAAACGTTGTTCGCTTTGTGTTTTTACTGTACATGTCTGTACATAGCTCAGTTACTGTCAATATTAAAAACATGCATTCACTGACAACTTCAAATGCAAATCAAAAACATTTGGAAAAGCAGATAGGAGATATGAGGAAAGAAGCAAGGAACAAGTTTAGTTGATCCCAACTCCTGTAACCATTTAACATGAATTACATTCTGTGTTGCATTCGATGTCCCTCAGGGCATTGACGCTGTCATCTTTAGAGGTCCGTTTCCACATGGACAGTGAAACCCACGACCCCATTGACCTCCAGACCAAAGAACTCATGTACGTAACTTCAGAAAGGAGCAGAATCATTTTTTAAACGCTTTTCTCCATAAAATCACATTTTTGTAGTGCATCGCTGTGTGTCATGCTGTGTTGTGGTCATATGTAAATAAACGCATCTCTTGATTATTAGGGAGACGAACTCCATGGTGGAGGAGTTCATGTTGCTGGCCAATATTTCAGTTGCCCAGAAGATTTATGATGAATTTTCAGAGTGTGCTCTGTTGAGGAAACATCCAGCACCGCCGCCATCTAACTATGACATCCTGCTTAAGGCTGCAAAGTCCAAGGTGAGTGAAGACAGATGGTCCTGTGGAAAAAATGCTTTGGTTTTCAAGGGATATGCTTATTTGTTAAGCTAATTTAATTAATTTTCTCTGTTATGAAAAGAGGATGTTGTCCATTAATTGGCAGTAACTTCTGACACACGAAATTTTAGCTGAATAAAAATTTAAGGCAGCATATACTTTTATTTCATAGTTTTAGTGGTCGCAAAGAGACGAAATGCTCTACAGCCGGACTGTACAAAACAAGTTATAGGCACTGATCAAACACCCCAGTAAATCAGGGGTTCTTAACCTGGGGGTCGGGGCCCTGAAGGAAGTCCCAAGACATTTCTGAGTGGTCACAATGTGATGAAAGGTAGAAGAAAGTATATGTATAACTCATGTTTATGTGATCTAATTTCAGCCTTTTACTCCTGAGGCCTCTAAAGCAAATAGACATCAATTTGTTTTAAGGGGTTGCCAGAAAAAAGGTTGAGAACCACCGCAACAGACCATAAAAAAGTCCTGCATAACAGCTCCAAATATAAATAAATATATATAGAGAGCTATATATATTTATTTATATGCAAATATAAATACAATTCTTCAATATAACTACAGAATAATACTCTTCCTTTCTAGTCTAAGTATGTTTAAGGTGTCCAAACGTTTGTTTCTGTGTGTTCCCAGGATGTGGAGATCCACACAGATTCAGCCAAGGCACTGGCTGACTCTCTTGACGGGGCCAAAGTGGATGGCTTCCCGTACTTTAACACGCTACTGCGCATCTTGGCCACTCGCTGCATGATGCAGGCTGTCTATTTTTGTTCTGGCATGGACAGCGACTTCCACCACTATGGCCTTGCTTCACCCATTTATACACACTTCACGTCACCTATCAGGAGGTATGAAAACAGATCTTTACTAAATATGTTGCGTCGGGCCTTTTATAACAAGAGAAATGTGCACACTCTGTCTAACCTCCTTATGTCGTAATATTCCTCCTTTTTTTTTTCCTTGTCTAAACATCTCCCTCCACCCTCCCTCTCAACCATGTTCATCTGCTCCCCTACACAGGTACGCAGATATTATAGTACACCGCCTGCTGGCAGTGGCCATAGGAGCAGACAGCACTTACCCAGATTTGATGGACAAACAAAAGCAGTCAGCCCTCTGCAACAACCTCAACTACAGACATAAAATGGCTCAGTACGCACAGAGGGCATCTGTGGCCTTCCACACACAGGTAAACACATATGGACTCACTGGTTTGATTTAAGTTTGTTTGGGGCTTTTACAGCAAAACACACGGTCCTGAACCATTGTGATATAATTTAGACTGACCTCTACTGAGAATCAACTAAATGTCCACTCTGGTTTGAGTAAAGATAGACTTGCAAATACACACACCCAACACAGTACTACATCATTTACTGCAAATTCACACCGTCAATACAAATCATCTCTTTGCAGCTGTTCTTCAAGAACCGAGGCATACTTAACGAAGAGGGATTCGTTCTGTTTGTGAGGAAGAACGCCATCATTGTGCTCATCCCAAAGTTTGGCTTGGAGGGAACAGTGTTCTTTGACACCAAAGACAAAACCATCCCAAACCTTGTTTTTGACGAAGAGGTATAAACACTTAAACACAATTCATTTCATGTTACGGAGAACAGTGTTTAAAATCTCTCTTCTGCATGTGTTTAGGGCCCCACTCTGAACATAGAGCAGCACACCTTCCACATATTTGACAAGGTGAAGGTCACAATCAGCCTGGACGACTCCAATATTCAGCACCAGAAGATCCGCATGGCTCTGATAGACCCTGTGGTAAGGACTGACTGTTTTACTGCTTTACCACTGGTACCGTTATAGCTGCCTTTTATTTCTCACAACTCCTGTTGTGCAGATCAATTGCAGTATTTACAACAATTTTGAATGGAAGGTTTGTCCTTAGAAGAAAATTCATCTTCTTCAGCATATTCTAGAGGTTAATTGTCTTTATTTTAGATCCCTGGTGTGAGTGTTCCAGCCCCAGATGTTGAACCACAGGCCAAGAAACCAAAACTGGACCGCTGACGCAAGAAGCAGCAGAGTAATTCACCCAAACCATCAGCTGATTTTCCAGATGAAGAAATCTTACAAGTCTATAAAAGAGACAGTTTGGACTCTTTAATGAACAGACACAATTTACTCTTAGAGCAAGTATGCCCATTTTAATACATCTACCACAGTTAGACCACTCTGCTCTTATACATGTCATTTTATATGATTTAAAACACTTGCCGACACAAGGTGCAAGTTAGAAATGCAGTATAACTTGTCCAACAACAGTGAAGTAGGCAACTCAATCATTAAAGTGTTTTTTTTTAACTTATATGGTTCTGTTTGGTTTGTCAGCCCAGCATGAATCTTGACTGAAAATGTTTCATAAGAACTGAGTCAGCTGTTCACAGCCTTGTTTGCTACACAGAGTTAAAAATTATGTACAAAATGAGTATCACAGTTTTCTTGCTATCAATTCAAAGTTGAAACTCAGGTTCATCACCTCCACTCAAATGATTTAGTCCTACTGAATAAAAATCTTAGAATTCTGAAAAATCATATACTGTATAAATACTATTTAAAATCTCACTGACATTTTGGTGAAATGTCATTTGAACAGAATTGTGAATCACAATATTGAGAATTGTCACAACAAAAATAAACATTGTAGAAACACCCAGGTCAAAAATAAACAGTGTTCTCAAGTCAAACATAGAATTCAAGTTAATTTAATGTGACAACGATCCAGCCCATGCTTTAAGTATAGAAAAATTGTTTTTTTAAAAAAAAAAAAAAATGGCTCAATCAGCTTTTAATTTACAAGTGGCATTATTCAGTGAGTCTTACTTTGGAATAAATATTCTAACAGTCCAAGTAAGATGCACAAATAACCAGAATTATAACAATTCTTACTCATTCAATAAAAGAAAAAAAAGCTCTTGTCATATAAAAACATCATGATAAACAGTTTTATAAAAACAGATACAGTACAAATCCGATGTCACCTGAAAGTCAGGATCTATCAGGTCGATCATGTCAGCACCAAGATAAATTGAAATTATGGCATTAGTATCAATACAGCATTCCAGGAGGTTACTGTTGTGCAAGTTCAATACAGAAATTACTTTTTTTCTTACCCCTTACCACACCAGTATACTTGGTTTTTAGAATTGTAGATTTTTAAGTGTATTACAATAGGACTAAGATGTGCTACAGGTTAGTCTTCTCCCTTCCAACCTGCGATAAAACATACTGTGGTAAAGCATTTGCCTTCAGTCAGGCAACTTGAACCTAAACAGAACTAATAACCACTTCACTTCTGTCCATAGTTCATTAACAGTTGACCCCTTTCACCCTAACCAAATTCATTTGACATAAAAGCTTCAAACATAGTGTAAACTTTGTTACATTTCATTGCAAAATTATCACGGTAAGCTTCCACTGGAAGAGGCGTCCCTTTAAATACATCAGGCGGCTCAGTGGTGAGGATAAAATACCTGAAAAATAAGACATGTAGTTTTAGTCAGATGAAAATAAAGACTTTGAAGCTGATATCGTTTTCTCAGCATGCACTATACTGTTAGCTAAGTCTGCATGATACCTAAAGATAGTAATGCATTTTAAACAGACAGGTTACAAATTAAAAGGAAAAACCAACGAAACATCTTATGTGGTGTCTCAGGAACAGCTTCAGCGCATTGGCATTGATTCTACAAGTTACAAGCACAACCCTGTGTGTGTGAGTAAAGTGTTAACAGTACCTTCATTTTACTGTGTCTAGTGAGTTGAAAGGCTTCCTCTGCCAAGTTTGAACTGAAGGATTCTTTGCTGTGACAATCTGAGCTGAGGCCATCAATAAGACTGGCGGTGCCTGCTGATGTGGTGTTGTACCCACTGTCCACCTGAACAAACGTAAAAAGCAGTCCATTAGAGATATTCAAATGGACAATGTGAAATTATCAACAAGACAAACTTGAATCCATTTATATAAGAGTGAGTTAAATATACAGTGAAGTAGGACACTGCTCACACAGACCTGCATGCTTGAATCGTAGCGTATGCTGCTTCCCTCTGCCAGAATAGAAACAAACATCTGAGAGCTTTCTGTTACTGACACATTGACCATGCGAGAGCTGGTAAGCTGTTCTGAAAGCCCTCCCGCTTCCTCCTCTTCATCCTCCAACCTCACTTCTACAAATATCTCCTTGCCCTCCTCCATTTTCACCGGTTCCATAGGATCCAGGCTATTTCTCTCAGTGTTAGTGGGGTGAGCGTCCTGGGCCAGGGGTGACGATGGATCTAGCTCCATAGAAGGGAGAGAAGAGGAGTAGGAGGGGAGTGGGTCCTCAGCCTCCTGATGGTCTTGGAGCTTAGGGTTGAGGATGGGGGAGATGAGCGGAGGGGAGGCCCAGTAGCGAACTCTGGGCCTGGGCTTGGGTCTGGCATTGTGCTGGGGCTCGCTGTAACAATGGAGCTGGTGTGGGGAGCAGTTACGAATGGGAGAGCAACCCTCGACAAATGGACTCTCATTGAAGGAAGTGACATCTATGTCCAGGGGGGCACCACGTGGAGTCAAATTACTCGGCTGCTTCCTCTCAGCTAAAGAACACAGATTCAATTTGAAGTTGAAATTAGTTAATATCACCAGTGTCTTATAAAAACTTTTTAATTTCTGCTTTTATTTTGGATATTACAAATTTTGGTGCGAGTTACAAAACAAATAGCCTACCTGAGCCTATGGGTGTGCGTGCTGTATGTGCAACAATAGGTGAAATTGTGGGGGAGATGAGGCCTGCAGGAGACGACTTATCAGGGAACATAGGGCTACTGATGCTGCCAAGGCTGCAGTCCCGGAAGCAGCCATGCTGGATGGGGCTGGACGAGAACTGACCCTATAGTTAAGACAATGCAAATACATTTTAGTTTAACAGTGTATCCATTAATGTAACTTAAATGAACAGTTTTATCAAAATATGAAAAAAACCTGAAATTTAAAAGATGCATCATGACACATATGGAAATTCACAACATTGAAATTAAAGATAGTGTCCAAAAAAGTGGTCTCAGACTCTTGGACCCCACTGTATATCCACACAGACATTGTGCTTTAAAATTCACACACCAAGGGTATGGCAAAAAAAAATCATCATTTGAATCACACTTGTCCACTCACCGTGGAGGGAGTTGGAGCCGACACACCACAGGATAAAGGGGAGGAAAAGATAGATGATATAGCTTCTCCCTCAGAACCTTCAACCCGTCCTACAGCTTCCTCTCCTTGGGTTAGAGAAGACCTCTCCTGCCTGACATGGCTTCTCTCTGGGCTTGGTGGGCTGGAGCTGTCAGAGCCACTGTAACTGCCCTGGCCATCAAGGAAGAGTTTTCGTCTTAAGGAGGAGGAACTGAGACTCTCCTGCATAGCATCACACGCTTCCTCGCAGCGGTAATATTCGCCTGAGGAGAGGGAAGAAACAGACAAACATCATGATTTGATGGTAGACTACTCTGTCATATTCTGATTTGGTTGTGCTGGCATTTATTAGAGGCTTACCTAGTACTTTCTCCAAATCAAAAGCCAAAGGCAATGAAAGAGTTGTCTGACAAGCAACTGTACAACAAACATAATAAAGAGAGATTACAAATAAGTTAGAGAGCAGTTCAGGGACGAAGAAGAGATGGGGCACTGTTTGCAGAAAATAATGTGGAACCCTTTCAAAGAACACACCAACCTGAGATTTTTTCTGGCTCTTCCGCAATCATTGCAGACATATAACCTACAAAGTGCAAACATAAAAAATTTTAAAATGTACAAAAACACAATACAAACACAATATGAAACTTTAAGGCAAATACCAGGAGGCAAATTTGATTATAAAAGACTTCCAGGGGTTAAAAAGTAATATAAACAGTAAGATACTTACTTTTCTTACAGATCTGAGGGGCTTTACGAGAGTTTGGTGCTGCCCAGGGGGACGGCACAATGGCTCCTTTGGTGAAAAACTTTATTGGGAGACACATAAATGACACAGATACAAAATGAATCAATAAATCATTAAAAAGTTAACTTTCCTATCATTACACCATATAATTAGATTGAATTTAAATCCAGTACCTGCTCGATAGCATTCTGACGCTTTTCCTCAATGTCAGAATCTGTCCTAGATGTTTCAAAGAAAGATAAAATGTTTAGTCACTTAAATTCCCTGCCATCTTTAATCTAATTTAACATAAATAAAATGTGACTTGACTTTCTCTTCAAAAAATCATCAAAGTATGTAATTTGCCTAGGGGTGACCAAACTTTTGCATACAACCCTATCTACCATGGCTTTTGTGTTTCAGCACATACCTTGTCTGGCTTAGGTAAAAAGACTGTCGCTGGATTTCCTCTGGGTCTATGTGTACTGGAAGAAGACTGGCCATTTCATCAATTGACCAGTTAAACTTGGGTGGAGTCTGGGGGGCAGACAGATGAGGAAGTGAATAAAAGACTACATACAGAATTCAACAGAGCAAAGCTTGTGGGCATAAAACAGCGTTTAGGCAGGCAGAAACAGGTGTGTGTCTGTGTCACAAAGAAGTAGGTCTAAAAGATTTGAGGTGATAAGTGCAAGGTGATAAGTTGTTTGTTCAGACTTACAGCTTTACAAGACTTGGACTTAAAGACAGATGGGCTTGGCACCAGGGGTTCACGGAGGTGGTGGTAGTCATTAGGACTTTCAAAGGGATTTCTTATGGAAGGCCTGCCTGGAGTCTCTGGGGTGATCTGTAGCTCAACATGGTCCCCCATCTTAGCTGACAACAAGATAAAGCAAATTTCAGGGATAAAATTTGTCAAACATAATAACATAACTCAAACGGCAGCCTGTACTTTGTTAGTTTGGCGTGTTAACTGCATTGCTTCCCCTGTTTCTATAGCGTTAACGAGCTTGCTGGCTATTGTAGAAGGAAGGTGCTAACAGTGTTACGTTACACAACACTTTACTTAAAAATGAAACGCACATTTAAATATTAACTACATACATATTTCATTGTTGGTACTTACAACTGTTAATGATCCAGGACTGTGGGCACACAACTAAAAAACAACCTTCATAGAGGAGTCATCAAACAACCAGCTGCGATAGAGAGGTTCAAACGTTTATTTCAATTTCGCCCACAGGACCCGCTAGCCAATAGAAATGCCACAGGAAGTTCTTGGGAACCAATCGGAACAAAAATCCATGTCGTCACTTCCTCTGTCACATTCGCTGCTGAGTTTACCAGGCTAGGTAGCTAACTAGCTGCTAATGTCCATTTATGATTTCTGATATTTGGAGATCTTTTGTAAAATGAATACGAAACGTTTAAGGTCTGGCTGAACCCATTGTAGTAACTCACCAGTCTTGTATCGAGCCAGAGACCTCTTCAAGTCTTATTTGTTAGCCACCTGCTAGCAAGCATTGGCTAACTATATTCATACAACACCATGGCAAGTGCAGCAAATACAAACCTAAACGCCGTCCGGGAGACAATGGAGGGTAAATATACATTTTTGTTTGATATATCTGTAAAAATAATTTGTAATTCTGCTGCAAATAAAATGGCTTTTCTAAACATCTAACCTATTGTTTGCTAACAAATTCTGTAAGAGGTGCAGCAGTCAAGTTTTTAAACGAGAAAATCTAAATAGCTTCAACATGTCCCTTTTTCCTACAACAGCGCTGCTAGAGATCTCCAGGTTGCTGAATACTGGTTTGGACATGGAGTCTCTGTCCATATGTGTGAGACTTTGCGAGCAGGGCATCAATCCAGAAGCCCTGTCTGCTGTCATCAAGGAACTGCGTAAAGCTTCTGAGTCCCTCAAGGTACAGAAACACGCTCCAAAATATTTCATATTATTAGAGAGAATGATTTGCAGGTGGGCACTGAGGTCATTTAAAATCCTGCGTGGAGTCAATTTTCCACCATTCAGTTGAGACCTGCTGAGAAAATATGTCAGCTCAAACTGGTGTCTTAAATTGTCTTTTATTTTGTCTAATTTGCAGTTACATATAGAAAAGAAAACAGAGTATCCATACATTTGAGCAGCTGTTGCTTGCTATCTCTTATAGGATAAGTTTTTACTAATCACTAGAGGGGAAATAAGAGTGTTCCTGCAACACAAAGGCAGCCATAGGTACAGAAAAATAGAGAAAGTAAAAATAGTTCATGAGAAGTATCTAAAATGGAAATAAGAATAGAAACTATTTAGCAATTATATAACAAGTGAATGACAAGGTAAGCAATGAATGGTTAACATAACTAATAGTGCAGTAGTGTCATAGTGATGTGTTTAGTAGAAGCAAAGTGTGGTATATGTAAGAGCATATTTACTCCTGAAACATAATATCTGTTTTGTGCTTGACAAAATGAGAAGATAATATTTGTGACATGGGGCTTACATCGTCTGAGGGACTGAACCACAAAGGGAACATTTCAATCATTATCAAGAGACATCTGCTAGTAAGGGAGTATCTTGTTCCCTCTTGTCCAGACAAGAGAAAAGGTTGTCATCACAGAGAGTGTGCAAAAATTAAAACATGTACACTGTGAGTCCCTAATATTTGTTTCAGTGAAGCATTTGCGTTTTTCACACTTATCATACTCCCGGGTATGCTTTGCCTCCCACTAATTTTACCTCAATTTTACACATATTTCACAATTTTGTTTTGTCCTGTTAATTGTTGAAGCCCACCCATAAAACAGGTGTAATTTGATTATTAAAAAAAAAAAAAAAAAAAAAAAAAACACAACAATGATCCAATTATGAATCACTTTGTTGCATCACCACAGAATACCACTATATTTTCTCTTTCAGGCTTCTGAAAACTGTGCAAACTGAAGATGAAAACCGATCACCTCAGTTTGGGACATTTAATGGAATCATGCCATGTTCCAGGGTCTGTACTTGGTGTGGGCTCATCAGCCAATCAGATTTGTGTTTGTGTTGGCGGTCTGTCATCTGCACCTTCCTCGGTGACAAACATGCTCCACTCTGTGCTTCGACTTGTGTCTGGGTTTTGTGCAGCGGTATCAGCCTCAGTCCTCTTTCTAAACACAAGTTTTCTCCAGACATGAGGGCACACTCAGCCTTTCTGCCTCAAGTTTAGGGTTGCTCCAAGTTTCTCCTACCACCATTTGTGAAGTCTAAGTTCAGAGTGCTTCTCATCCTGCCTTAATTTAAGATTTTTTTTTAAATGTCTGTCATTTGTTAAGATTTTTTTTTAATTTTGTGTAAGCATAAAGCATTTTCCAACTTAATCCTTTTGCTATTTCCGTTGTCAATGTAACCATCAATGATGGAATGACGTCTAAATTAAAATGTTGCAGTCAGTGCCCACCAGGTGGTGTTGTGTCATCCTTATTTCAATTGAGGGTGTAGGTCTTCTTTGGGTCTTCGATTCTAAATGTGCAAGTTTCCTTTTTCATGAGTTTACCTGATACTGTTGTTTAAGATCAATTAAATACTGTGATTTTATCAGATATTTTTTAAATTCACATTTTCCTTATTAATTTGTGCTTTTTGTCTTGTCTTGGTCCCATTTAGAATAGAACGCAGCACAGCATTTTTTTCCTAATGATATTCTTACAGGCCTCTTGTTATTAAAAGCTGAACTTTCTGAAGCATTTTACAAAGGAAATGTTATTTCCTCTCACACTAGGTGAAAGGGGCAAATATATTGGTTGATCGTTGCACAATACAATACAAAAACTGACCCTGCAGGAGTGATCACATTCAGTCGACATACTTTACAAAAGGCATGACCAAGGGTCATTCATTACAGCAGGGTGTCCTGAAATCTTGGCCCCCATATGACTGTACTCTATCCACAAAAAAGTATTTGATATATATACTGCAAACTTGACAAAAAAAATATGTCTTTGAGCAACCAGAAATTAAGGCCCTATATCATGTATCTAACCACACAGAGCATTGTTTTGTTTCTCCACTGTCTGTAAAATAGCTCTATTCATCTTCTAGACGAGGGAAAATGCTGAGAGCACAGAACATTCCTCCACAGGCCAATATAAAGGCTAGAAGCGACCTCTCATCCACACAGGCTTGTATTATGTCTGTGTGTGTGTGTCCCTCAATGTGTGTGAGTTTAGGTGTTCATGCAGCGCTGTAGATGTCTACAAATGAGTAGCCCCTAAGCCATCTGACGGTAACGCCTCACCCCTCACAGGAACACCACAGAGAAAGCCGGCGAGTGAGCAGGAGAGTGTGTGTGCGTAAGCACTTCTGTCTTCCTCTGCTTTGTCTCGCCATCTTGACTGACAGGCTGTGAGTCTAAATCTCTGTACTGCTGCTTTGATCTCTTAACACAGTGTCTCTCTGTTCCTCAATACCAGCATCGTGTTAGCCAAGTATGAGAGGCATACAGATACGGTGCAGTGGCTCTCCTTGATAGCCCATAAGCTTAAACAACCTCTGGCCTCCGTGGGGGGTGAGTTGCATGAGATGTTGATGGGGGAGACCCACATTGAGAATCCTTTTCTTTTACAAAGGAAAAGAGTTATGCATGGCTTGATTGGCTACTGTGGGCGTGAGATTCAGGATGCATTGCTCTCTGTTTGATGTGTTTGAAGGGTTTCTCCTGATCCAAACCGGCTACTTTGATCTCTGTAAAACAAAATATTCCCAAATCCCATAGTCCTGACTGAGAGATTAGCGTCCATATATGCATAAACATCTAAGAGGTGTTCAACTAGGGCACTGGTCAGGTCACATGACTGTATAAACTTAAGAGGCAAGCAGGTCTTCACATCAGAACTTCTGAAGGTGTTTATGTTTGTATGTCTGATAATTATCCAGGCCGAGGATTATTTTTCTGATAAATGAGGGCAGTCTCATTTAAAAGTGAAAGATCTATGTGTTGCAATTATGGTTCAGTTGTGTGCAGTGGATATTATGAAAATAATTAGACTGGACTGATTAGAAGTTCTTTATGTATAAGGAAGGATGGTCTGTTGATGTTTGTACAAACCTAAATTACACACATATTGTCTCCTGAAAACATTGAGAGCCTTATGTGAAGCCAAGTTTAACTAAAAGTCAAACATCTCTATGTGCAGTTATGTTTAGGTCACTAATTACCATTAGCCAACACGTAGGTTTAATGGTCTCTCTGTAGAGACGAGGCTTTGTTTGTTTGTTATGTCTATTTCATGTTTTATTGTTGCTTATAAGATTATTTCAGGGCTAGATTTTTTTCTGATAAATTATTCTGGTTGGATAATTATCGAGTTGTGTTTTAAGAAGGGAACTTTTTTGTTGCAGATCTTATTTATATAGTTTGGAACAGGAGTCAAAGTTCTTTGTTTATAATCAACATTATACCTAAGAAGTTATGTTCTTGTCTGATAAAAGTTTTCCCCCATCTCTTATATGTCCATGTGGGCTCGCCACTAGACAAACTACACAGTGGTGGAAAGTAACTCAGAATATCTACTCAGGTACCAAGTTCGGTTCAAAGGTACTTCCACTTCACTTCAGTATTTTAATTGTATGCTGCTTCTACTGCTACTTCTGTATATTTCTACTCCACCATTTTTCACAGGGGAATATTGCACTATTTACTACATTCATCTCACAGCTATAGTTATTTTGCTGATTAAGAGTTTAAAAAACATTAATATGTATATAAATACAATGCATTGATATACACTAGAATTAACCACTAAACAGAACAAAAAATACATTTAAAAATGCTGCTTACATATTAATGCATCAGCACCAATAATATTGATTATTAGTTAATAATTTAACAATGTCAGAAGCCCTTTAATCTGAATACTGAAGTTGGTAATATATACATACTTTAACTTAAAGGGATAATGCCAGTTTCATGACAATGTCTTTCTTAAGTCTGCTAACATTAGCTGCCATCAGCGATTGGTCATACCAGACCGGTGAAGGCACAGCAAAACACCGAAACTATTAAACAGACCCTTCAGCTTTCATTTGTTTTCCTTTCAAAAGGAAGGTCTTGTCATTTCTTCTTTTAAAGTTATCTAGTACCACTTGAAATAATATTTTGATGGCAGAACTTTTGCTTGTAGTGGGCTATTTTTACATTGTGGTATTTCTACTTTTATTTAAATAAAGAA